CCCCTTCAGTGGGTGAGTGTGCAACTGGCGGGGCGCGATGCGGCGGCGACAGCGCCATTGAATTGATTTGGGAATGCGTTTGGGTTCCGGAGGATGTGTGGGGTGTTGTGGCTCATTTTTTGGCTTGTTGGCGCCGATAGATTGAGAGAGTTGCTCGTGCGTTGACGTCGCAGAAAAATCTTCGTTGAAGACCAACAGCATGGCCGAGTACGTTGGCGGCCGCCAGTGACAGCACCCGTCCTGCTGATTTGAGCCTGGTGACCACAAAGGCGGAGCTCCTGCTCACACGTGTTTTCCAACCTTGAGATAGGACTAAGCAGGCGCCCGTCAAGTGGGCTCAACGTGAGGATGCCATCTTCCTCACCGTCAGCGTGCCCGACACCAAGGACCCCGTGATCAATCTCACTCCGACTTCCTTCTCCTTCAAGTCAGTGGGCCTTTTGAAGCATTCATGTTCTTGAAAAGCTGGTTGTCGCACCCTTTCAACCTCAAGCAAGCATTCTTCAACCGCCAACAACACTGGTTCTGACCGCCATCCGCCTTGCAATAGGAGCAGTGCTGGTTCCGATGGCACCCCTTACCATTGCGAGTTTGACTTTCACGGCGAGATTGTGCCCGAGGTGGGTCATGACCGCTCGTAGCCTTGACTTGCGCACTTAATTTTGTCCTGAATCATTGCGTTACGCCGAGTGCCTCGATTGTTATTCTTGCTCTTCGCTTGTTCTTGTTCCCTGTCCGTCCTTCTCCTCTTCACGCTGACAATACAATGTCGTTTGAAACATATCTTGGGCGCTCTTGTACCCGCAACAGGAGAGCGCGCGCCGCATCACGTCCCGCGAGATTTTCATGAACATCAAGAAGAAGGAGGCTGGCCCCTACTGGCCTCGCCTGACCAAGGAGAAGCTCAAGCTGCCCTGGCTCAAGGTTGACTTTGACAAGTGGAAAGATGAGGACGATGAAGATGAAGCGCCCGATAACGTGGACATGGGCGGCATGGAAAACTTTGACATGCAGCAGGTAGCTAGTTGTTGTTGTTTTGTTTTGTTTTTTCGTTTTTTCGCATGCCACATCGCCTCTTGCTCTGGCGCATCACGTCGATGGTCGACTTCGGTCCAACCTCTCTCACAACATGATGTCGCCCTCGATAGATGATGGCGCAAATGGGCGGCATGGGCGGCATGGGCGGCATGGGCGGCATGGACATGTCCGCCATGGCTGGCATGGCTGGCATGGGCGGTGCTGCCCCTGACATGTCTGCATTTGAGACCCCCGCTGCGGACGATGTTGATGACTCGGATGATGAAGGTACGAGTCACAACTGGAGTTCGATCTTTCGAGAGTTTTTTTGTTGCCGTTTGGTGGGCATCGATAGCAGCTATACCCTACATGTTTGATGCCGCCCTTCTTGTTCACGTGGATGCACGCGCGCATTTCCCCTGGACCCTCAGATATCCCCGACCTCGAGTAAAGAAACCCGCTGTGCCATTTCAGCGCATCAACAATCTCATGCCTGCCTTCCAAGCCATGTCAGCTAGCCTTTGCAAGCACACGGTGGCTGAAGCTTGGATCAGTCTTCCAGCTCCCCCGCAAAATGTGGCCAACCTGCAGGCTAGTCTTATCCGGCACAGTGATCATGAGTCAAAGCTGGACCTCCATGTGCGCGTGACAGCGGTGACTCGTTGAGGCGTGACTACAAGGCAAAACGGAAAAAAGAATTGAAAACGAGACACGAGTTTCCTCACGTCACAAGCTCCCGACATGGCAATGTAATTTGTGTGCAACACGTGATGTAGCGTCCACGAGAATGCCTCATGCCTCATGTCATAACCACTTTTGGAAGATGCAGCAACCAGAAACGATACAAAAGAGAACCGACTCAATTTGAGAATGAAAAACAAGCAAGATCACACAATGAAAACTATGGCATCACGCTCACGCTGCCCCTCAAAACTGAGGGCGCATCGTGCAGGGAGCAGACAAGATGCGGCAAGCAAAATGGCACCATGCACGCTGCACACTACATTTTTTTCATCAAAGCCTCCACGCGCTGCTGAAGGCTGGAAAAGTTTGTCTCGATGGTCTGCGCATTCTTCTCCAAGCTTTGCTCGAGCTGCGCGCAGGCATGAAGAAGCAGTCGAGAGCACAACATTCAGCACGTGGAAAAGAGGCGAAACCAAGCGCCAGGTACACGAGGACACCCTGCGTACCGTCTTCAGCGTCACGTCCTGCGTCGAAAGCTGCTCCTTGACCTGGTCTTGTGTGGCCCGCATGTGTGTCAAGGTGGCTGCAAAGTTGGCGGCCTGTGTATGCGTAAGCGCGTGAGCGTACTGGTGGCAAAGCGTGTTGATGGCGCCATCTGCACCACCCACCTCCTCGTGCAGCGCACGCAGATCCTTGAGCCTCTCGACGATAGCTGGTACGGCCGCGGCCGTTGCATCCCAGCGATTGGCTACCTGGTGCAATTCACGGATCTGACAAACCACAGCGTGAGCTGACATGCCATGCAGGTCGGAGGGCCAACGCTGCATTGCGCAAAAAACAATGCTTCACCTTTTCCAAGTCCTCTGCGGCCAAGACACTTGAAGCACTCTGCGCGGCTTCTTGAATCTAAACCAAATGCCCCCAGCAGATATCAACGCGGCCTCATGAGCAGGGCTACCTCGTGCGGCGCTTTGCAGCCAACTGCAGCGACCCTAAATGAGAGCGGAGCGGGATCTCAAGGAATACAACAAACCTTGGCCAAGCTCTCGCGCACGTTCTTCATCTTGCCCTCAAGGTCTGCAAGAGAATTTTCGTTGAGGGCATCCACTCGCACGGCGAGCTGAGAAACGGCCTCTGAGACGCTGCTGTCGCTCACAGACAAAAATCGACCTAGAGCGAGGCCAGACCAGACCGAGCAGAGAAGATGCATGGCGTCATGAAAGACGTTGCAGGGCCAAGGCTGTCACAAATGCAACGCTGTAGGGCTAGAGGACGCACTAATTGAGTCAAGGTTGGTGGTGCCCACGCGCGACTCCAGCTCGGCAATACGTTTCTCCAGCTCGGCAGCCCGCGACAGCTGCTGATACCGTGCCTGTTCTGGCGTGTAAATGAGTTCATAGGTAACGCCCTTCTCCTTGCCCTCGGCACCCTCGGCACCCTCGGCCGCTCGCGCCTTGGTCTTGGCCACAGCCGCCATCAAACGCCTAAGGAACCAGCCATGTATCACCAAATTGGATGAGAGGCACAGCAGTGTTTCAAAAAGTGCACGCTGGTGAGCATACTTGATGGCGTCGTTGTCTGCAGAAGGCGTGCTGTCAATAGGAGCTGTTTTGCCGCCCAGCAGTTCATCAAGGCGAACTTGTGTCAGTTGATCTTGCATGCTTTGAATCTACATTGAAATGTCGAGTCATCAGTAAAGGCCAGACAGTGCACTGGACGAGTGGCAGGTGCGGTACAAGAGGAAGGAGGGATGATAATATGACGACTTTACCTGAGCGGCAATTTTGATGGCAGTTGCTGCCTCTTCTTGACTGTGCTCGTCCGTGTCAACAGCCGCCTTGGCAGCCTCTACCTCGGACAGAAATTGCTGGGGGTAGGAGACGAGTCGATGAGGCCAACACAACGCCAGGGTGTGAGCAGTGACGTTCAGATGAGAACGCTCAGACTCACAGAGACTTCGAGGCGCAAGCGTGTATATTTCTCCTCTAGGCTTTCGTCGGTGGCTTCAGCCTCAGCCTAATATGGGACGCAGGCGAGTGAGCGGGGCGGTGCCGGGCCTGTGGGCCTGCAGGACGCAATTAGCAGGATACGCACAAGCTGGAGTGTGCGGTAGCCATCAGGCCGAAGGCCAAGCTTGTCGGAGAAATCTATAGCATCAATGGCCGCAGACAACCAAGCATTACAACCCATGAGCCCCGCGCATTGTGCGCCAGTGATGCACTGAGGGACGCGAGCCTTTCGCGAGATGACATGACATACCAACGCCTGTCGCGTCCAAGCTCGAAGCATCGCGGAAGCTAAGCGTCCATGGACAGAAGGTGGAGAGCGGTGCTCAGAATCAAATTGCCAGGCCTCTCTAAACTGAAATTAACAACATGAACACCCATCCGCCACACATACCGTTGGGCCGAGGCTTGGGGATCAAAGCTGTCCTCTGCAATGTCCTCGGAAGGAAAGGCCGCGACGTTTGGGCGTGAATCCTAAGAGAAGGCAACGAACAAAGACCAAGGGATGAGAAGCTTCATTTGACTAGAATTGTTTGCTTCAGGCTATTTGGGACCAGGGGTGCAACTGGCGCGGTCCTGACCGTCACAAGACCCTCGCTCAGTGTCTCATCTTGCGTCTCGTAGATTTCCGGCTCCTAATGGAGGGTCAGCAGCAGATTTACGGTCATAATCGAGACAAGCATTTCGCTTGGAAAAGGCGAGACAAAGGAGCGTAAACTACAGTTGGCGGCGGCATCAGACCTGCACGCTGCCAAAGAGAGCCATGGTGAAGGGCTCGAGGAAGAGCTGGGTTTGCAGGCTCTGTCAACACCTCACTTCTTTCCGAGACAACACAGCCGTGAGTGATTCAAAAGAGGAGGCGCAAGCCGAACCGCTGGGCTTTCTCAACCAAGTCGCAAGTGCGTCACCATGCACAAGGCGCCGCCACATTGTGAGGCACTGGCATGCCCAGCCGATCCCTTTTGATGGGAGACCACTGACCAAGACGATGAACACCAAAACCCCTTCCACCCGAATGCCTCTTACCTTGATCAAGAAGGAGATGACCCACGAGCCGACGATCTTGTCCCCTGTTTGTTGCTCTGTCCTGGATGCACTCCAGTGATCGGGATCGCAATCAGCGGCTGCCGTTTTTTGACTTGTGAGTCTCGTTTTTCCGTTTTTTTTTCTTTTTTTTCACGATTTGAGAGAGAGAGAGACGGAAACAGTGGGAGAGATGGCAAACAGGTCTTTTCAACAGTAGAACAGTCAATCGGAACAGGATCAACCCGGCAAGGGTCAGTCCATACAGGCCTAAGAACAAGCCTCTCATCGAGTCTTGTCACGTTATCTCACTGGCTTCGTGTGCCGTATTATTTTGATATTCCTCACTGTGTTCGATAACGCGTTTGACTTGTGCAATTCGGCGGGCCGGTGACGGTGACGGAGGCGGCTGTCCGGCGGAAGGAGCGCGTCACCTCTTGCGACGTACCGTTGCATTTTGACAGCCGACTGTGGGCGGCTGCTTTTGTTGTGGGCGGCTGCTTTTGTTGGCGTCCTGTCTCAGGCAAGACGATCTTTTGGTACAGATTCAACAGGTGCGGGGAACCTGCTTGGGAGTAGGTGATGCTCGCGGGCGTGGGCTTATTGGAATACATGACATTGTGTAGCCATGCCTGAGGTGCGCTGGGACGAGATCCAGCAGGATGTGCTGGTCAGCGCCGGCTTTTTGTTGACTGTCTACGCGATAGCACGACATTTTTGGCTGCGGGTACGTGTGTGCGCTCGGCGCCACCTCGCTTTTGCTGATGCTGACCTAGGAGTGACACGTGTGCAACGCCTGATGTATGGATCGCTGGGCCTTGCAGACCAACCCGCGTGCGCTGGGATGGACGCTGTCCACCGTCACGGCGATCATCACAGCCGTGGCCGCCACGGGCGAGACCATCAACGGCCTGGTGCAGGGCTACGATAGTGACGAGTTTTTCAGCAGCCACCGCCTGTCACGCTTCATCCTGACCTACGTCTTTGTCAACTTTAGCCTCGACCTCGTACTCGGGTCCATCGACTACCCGCAGTTTATTGATCCGCTGAGCGGCTGGACCCACCACATCCTCTTCAACACCCTCATCCTGGGCCTGACCTACCACGACTCCCACAACACGCTCTTTTACGCCTTTATCGAGGAGATCCCCACCCTCCTGTTGGGCCTGGGCAACATTCATCTGCCGTGGCGCCAGGACTTGCTCTTTGGTGCCACCTTCTTCCTCACTCGCATTTGCTACCATGCCTACCACGCCTACGTCATTCTCACTCACATTCATCAGCCTCGACCGAGCGTCATCTATGCCGCCCTCTTCACCTCCTTGACCTTTCTCCTTCACGTCTATTGGTTTAGCAATTGGGTCCGCAATCTGCCCAAGTACCTCAAAGCGATTGCGCGCTCTGCCAACGAGCGCCCCAAAGCCCAATAACCCGACGCATTGCCCTCTCATAAGTACAGCAATGTAAATCAAACCCAGCCATACGAATCACCATTCCTATTCAAAGCCTCCTGTGTCAAAGGCACAACCTTCAACACTGGCCCGGTTCCCAAAAAGGAGTTTGAATCACACACACCCCTCCTCTCACAATAACCCCCTTCCCACAAGCATTGCCGACCAAAACCACCACCACTGCACACACACACACACACACACACACACACACACTCAATTTCTGATGTGTGTGTGTGTGTGAAACATTTTTCCTCTCTTCTTCTTCACTATTAAAGTTGGTAAGGGGGGTGGTGATGGGGATGCGGGCAGCAGTGGCTTTCCTGCAGGCGGGGAGGGGTGGAGCAGGGCTGCGTCTGGGCTACAAGCTTGCATGAAGATGCACTTGGTTGTTGTTGTTTTTCTTGTTTTTGTTTCTGCTGCGTGGGACCGACCTGAACGTCGTTGGCTCACGCGTTGTCCAATTCTTGCTCAAAATACTCGAAAGACCACTGAAACGGCAGCCCTAGTCGAGGCCCACGCTCTGCTGACCAGCACGTCTTTTTCCCCTGATACACCTGCCCATTCATCATGTCTTTGAGTACGCGTGGCCAAAGCTACCTGCAGAACCCAGAATGGTTCGGCCCCTTGATGGAGTGCATTCGTCTCTCCATGGCCCCCGTCAAGCGTCCCGAGGATAAGGTTCTCAACTTGGCCGTCGCCGAGAATACCCTCTGCCATGACGAGATGGAAGCCAAGCTTCAAGAGGTATCATCAGCAAAATCGCCCATCTTTAAACCAAGCCCACATGACCGGCTCTGGTCCTGCACAGCTTCCCGCCGGCCCGCGTGGGGTGGGCCGCTGCCAGAGACCTGCGGCCCCGTTTGAAGTTCTCATCATCTGGCTCTCGACGCCTGACGATGTAGATTCGTGCTGCCCAACCCATCACGCGTGACCTCTTTAGCTACTATCAGATGGAGGGTATTCAGGAACTTCGGTCTGCCCTCGCTGACCATTTCAACCGCTACCTCTATCTCAGCCAGAAGCGTCCCGCGTACGTGACCTTGATCCGTGTTGGTCTGTCTAGTGGCAGCGCCCTCGCCACGACTCCATGTGCTTTCTTCAAGCACCCATCCCAGATTGGTTCGAGCACACACGCGCACGCGCGCTTATTTGCCTGTTGTATTCACTTGGTGTTGGGCTCGCCCCTGTACAGGACTGCTGAAGAGTTTATCGTGGGTAACGGTTGCGGTCCTCTGATTGAAAGCGTCGTGTCCTGCCTGGCCGATGCCAATGATGTGGTTCTAGTGCCAGCACCCTACTACCACGCCTTTGCTCTTGGTTGGTTGAAGCCCACGTTGTATGACTCGAGTCAGCTTCAGGTACTCGATGTCCGCCGTTGCTCATCTGCCCGCGCTCTGACAACCTTCAGACCTATGCAAGCGCATCGGCTGCGTTATCGCCCCGGTGGCCGTCGAGGTGCGTGACTCAACATGCCAACGCCCAATCCCAGCATGTCGCACCAAGCACCCGCAAGCAGGACTCACGCGCTGTGGGCTGCGACAACTGACAGATGCCCGAGGGTGGTGAGCCACAATTGACGGTGGAGGCCATCCAGACAGCCTATGATGCCGCCCAGGCTGCTGGCCAGCAAGTGCGCGCGCTGATTTTTACCAACCCCAACAATCCCACTGGTAATCGTGCCCTCCTTTCCTCCGCCTCCTTTATCTCGCGCTTCTTGCTGGACTGCAGCCACAGACCATCGCCTCACGTGGCTCACCGATAACTTAGGGACCATCTTTCCTCGTGAAACTGTGGCTGATGCCATCCGCTTTTGCCTCGACCATCAACTCCACTTTGTGTCTGACGAAATCTACGCCATGTCCACCATGGCGGGCTCAGACAAGTTTGCTTCGGCTCATGAAGTGGCCCTGAATGATCTGCAAGCCCCTGATGGTAAGCGTGCTCGTCGGGTTTCGCAAGGTGCAGCCCCCTTGCACACACCGTTCTTGAGGCGTTGTGGACCTCATTTGGTTACCACGCTTTGGCGTTTTTCCCGGCTGTGTTTGCCTCGCATGGGTCTCTAGGCTGGGAGCGTCTTGTTCATGTCATGTGGGGGGCCTCCAAAGATTTTGGTCTGAATGGCCTTCGCATCGGGGTACTGCACAGCTGCAATGCAGATCTCCGCAATGCGCTCGCCAGCACCGGCATGTTCTTTTCAGTCCCAGCCGGTAAGCGTTGACTGATATTGACCAAACCAGCGATTCCCATACCATTTTTTTTTTTTTTTTTTTTTTGTGTGTGTGTGTGTGTGTGTGTGTGTGTGTGTGTGTGTGTGTGGTGTGGGTGGGGGGGGCGTTGTTTTTGTTGCCAGCTGTTCCTGGTAAGCTCACAAGCCTGAGGCTCAAACATTGCTTAGATATCCAACTGTTGTTTGCTCGTATGCTGCAAGACAAGGCGTTTGTTGAGAATTATGTGGAGCTGAACCGTCGCCGCATCGCCGAAGCCTATGAAACGGTGTGTGTGTGCACAAGCAACCAAGCCCCTCGTGGCTTGACTGTTCAAAGGCCGGCATTGTTCAGCTTGCCTTCCCCTGACTGAAACTCGTGCTCTTGCAGGTGGCAGCCTTTTTGGAGAGCGAGGGCTTTACGCGCGTGTTGCGCGGCGAAGGTGCCATGTTTGTCTATTTTAATGCCCGCTATCTCCAGGGTCGTCCAGTGGAAGAGTGGACTCTGGAGCGTGAGCGTGAGGTCTGGGTGCGCATGCTCCGGGAGCAGCGCGTCATGCTACAGCCAGGTCTTGTGTTCGACCATGCCGAACGCGGTTGGTTCCGCTTGTGCTATACCTGCGCCTCCACCGACGTGATCATCACTGCCATCAAGCGTGCCCTCAAGATCCTCAAGGAACCCCCGATTCGTCGTTTGTAAAGAAGAAAAAAAAAAAAATAACAAAACTCGACGAGATTGGCCTGGACCCGTTTGTGCGTTGTTTGATGCTCAGTCAATCTGTGACTGGTGACTCACATGTCAATCAAGGTTGTTTTGAAATTTTTGAACGGCTGCTGTCACGAGCAGAGCAGCATGCTGACCGAAAAGAAAATAAAAGTTTAACGCTCTATGTACAATGCCCGGTCCAGCTACAAACGCTGGTCCATGCACGACTCACGAGAAAGATAAAACATACAATGCCGCACTACACCGACGGGCGTAGCGTACACAGTCAACAAAGAGCAACAAGCTACCATCGTTGCAGCTATAACGTCTGCGTGCCATCCGTGCTTCTGGACATGGCCCACGTGGACGCAGCAGAAGCATTGCGCCCGTTGAACAAATCGTGGGCAACATGTGACGCTGCCGCTGTGCTGGCATTTGAGGGTGCACAAGATGGTGCGCGCAAATTGATCGGCGACCCGGCCTGCTCGACAGGTGAGCGCGGATCAGGCATGGGTAGCCGAAGGGAAGTTAGCTCGCAATCATCAATACTGCTGTCGCAGGAAGGGCCATTGCTTGGCAATCGGCATCCATCTCGGGCAGGAGAAGGCGGAGCTGGGACGGGGCAGATGAGCTCGCCATCTGCCTCTGCCCCTGTCTCGTTCTCCTCGTCTTCTTCGAGCACCTCCGTGAGCACAACGTCATAGGCATGAATCTGCGGGCAATGAAATGCGCCAGCGCGTGTGAAACAAAACGTGGGAAGAAGCGCATGACGCTGCTTCAAGATGAACAAGTCATATGCAGAAAACAACGGAGCACCAACCTGGCCCAGATGATCGGTATCAAAGTTGCTCATGTCCATGGCTGAGAGGCGATAATTGCTCAGCTTTCGCAGTTGCTTAACTTTGGACAAGGCAACCGCGGGCACGCCGTGCTGACGCGCGCGCGGAGCTTCCAGCATCCACAGAACATCAAAGGCTATTCAACCACACACGAACGAAAACGTTGGTAGGCGCACACGGGATAGGTGAGCACAGCCATGGGAGAGTTGGCCAGGCGCGGGGCGATGGGAGCAAACAGGAGACGCACAGGGTGTCGTCGAGATGCTGGTCCCGATTGTTGAAGGCGGCGCACTTGTAAGAGATGATGACACGCCAGACGGTGGACGAAGCAGCGAGTCAGGGACGCTGTCGGGATCACACCACTCGAGGTCGAGTGCCAAATTTCGGCGTTTGCGACCTTGCTGGGTGATTCCCACAGCCACAATGGTGGCGGCGATGATGACAAAGCCACCACCGGCTGCCACAAACCACAAGCGCCGGTCTTGCCAAACGCTCTGGCGACGCGCAGCATCATTGGTCGGCGCCAGCGAGGCTTCGATGGGGAAGTCAACGATGTCGGAATCTGCAGGCATCCTTGTTGACGGCGGGGTGGCCGTGACAAAGGAGGCCGCGGTGGTTGAGCTAGCCAGCCAGGCGGTTGACGTCGTGGACTGACTGGCGACCAACTGACAAGCCGTGACGCTGACCAGCACGCAGAGCATTTGCAGTCGCATGGTGGCGGTTGCAATTCAAACAACGGGATCGTTCAAAGGTTTGCCAATGATGGAAGGAAGCGGCGGTGGTACAGGATTCAGACCAAAAGTCAAGAGCAGACAATCAGAGGTAGCAGCAATGGCAAGACCAGCGAGGGCAGCGGTGTATAGGCAAAAGGGCGTCCGCACGGCTCGGTGCCGGTCGGAGTGCTGCCTGAAGAACCACTAAGGGTTGACGCAAACGGCAGCGGTGGGGGAAATGGGCAGCACCGAAGGCAAAGCGTCTCGCGACAGGAGTGGCGTTTGGCGCGTCCATTGCGCATCATGACCTAGGACGCTGAGCGTCAGTAGTGGTGCAAGCGCTGACGCGTGTAGCCGCTCGGTGTCGCTGGGGGAATGAGATGCCAATCCCTGCGCATGCCATTTCGTGCCCTTGCACCCCTGCAAGTCTTTGTCACAATCATCTGCTTCCCAGCCAGCGATACCAGCTTCACATCCACCACGCTTCACCAAGCCGCTTGCTCACGATCTCAACGAGTCTCATCCCGACCACAGCCCCGAGCACGCCGAGATCGAGCCACCAATGCACATGCATGCCTTCCGCCCCATAATACCATGACAACTCGCTCTCTCTCTCTCCGATATTGATTACGCAATTAATGGACATTGTTAATGTCAGCAGCACTTTAATGTCAGCATTTTGAACTCGTCAAAGTTACTGGATTGTGGCGGCTGATGAGAAATGGTGTCGATGTTATGCAGCGGCTAGCCGTGTACAATCGTCCCGGGGGGGTTTTGATGCGACGCCAGTTAAGAGCTATTTGTAGGTAAAGGGCGGCCGACTAAAGTTGAGGTTGGTTTCCATCGCCTATTTTAAGGTTAGACAGATTCGAAAGTGTGTGAGGCACACGGCGCACTGCGTAGGCTGCAGGAAACAAGCGAGTAGCGCCCCCTCCCCCCCTTAAAGTTTGCCACAGCCCAAGCATGAGGCATGGCGGCCCACCTTGAGTCCACGCTGGGACATTTTCGATTTGCGGTGGGATCGGCGTGGCTCCTCGGAATCATTATCCGACTCCTCCTGGGGCCCATCGGCTGAGATCTCGTTCGAAGGTGCGCCAGGGGTGACGGGCTCCGATAACTTTTGGACGCGAGGTACGGGAGTACCGCCCTCCGATGGTGGCTCTCCCTGCGTCGCAGTCTGCATGCATGGTGTCTTGGGCCCGCCGCCCGAAGAAATTGACGCTGAGGCGCTGCACACAAGCCAACCGCCGTCCACGACCAGGGTTGCCATCGCGCAAAAGCATGAAGCCAAAGTTATTTCAAAGTGCATGCGACAACGACTGTTGCAATGGAGCTATCAGGGAAAGGTAACGTACGAGGGTCGACGAGATGCCGAAGCGGAGTGACAGCCTGCCGTATCCCCATCTGTTGCATCATCATCGAGACCAGACTCCTCCTTCAGCTCAGCAGGCTCTGTTCAAGCGGTGGAAAGGAATGAAATTCAACACATCCAAAAGGACAAGAATTAGGGATGTGAGTAGGAGCAATAGGCGGGCTCAAGGAAAGAAAGAACGAATAAACATTTCAAATGGCGATGGAAACCCCCCCCCCCCGGCGCCAGGACCGGGCAATCGTTTGTCGGGCACGAGCAGCGAATTTGCATTAACAATGTCGATTCAAGACAGCAAACTCCTACCAGCCTGGGGCTCGGGCCGAGCCCGCTTTCCTTTGGGCTCGCCACCTTTCCGTGGTCGTGGTCCATTCATTTGGCGCTCGAGCGCTAGAATTCGAGAGAGCAGCTCAAACTTGAATCTAATGATGGATATCCACGCATGAGCACATGATGATGATCGGTAAAGAGCACACTTCAAAGCCTGGTGAATATCCCCGGCCTCCTGGTCAACAGACCGGAAGATCGGTTTGGGTGACAACTCGTGTCGCCACACTGGCCGGGCATAGTCACGAAGAGTCTGCTCCAGCATCGGACAAAGCACTGTGAGTGAGCCTGAGCGCGAATTTGACTTGCCGCCCACACCGCGAAGCCAAAGGAACGCACTCGTCGATTAACGGTACAAGGCATGCACAGCATTGCCTGAGGGATAAGTCCATCACACGATTGACACTGCACTACATCTCCTGCTCCTGCTTAGCGTGGGCAAACGAGTGCGTCATCAGACGCGTCCTCCAGCTGTATTGCTAAGCATGGTCCCTGAATCTCCTTGCGTTTCTCTCAGGTGGTCCCTCCTCTCACACACACACACATGAGCGCTGACTCGCGCTCTCGCTCTCTCACTCAGCCAATTGGTTTTGCGTTTTTCGCAAAATCCCATTCAGCCAGCTCAAGCACCTATGAGAGGATGCGATGCTGGCTTGTAGGGAACGGACCTTGAAGCACGGCAGCGGATTCGCGATGTGGTTCCGGGTGACTCGGATTCGAGTTTGCTGATTCCGCAAGAGAAACCGAGCCCTGCTTTGCTTCGCCATCATTGGCAGACAAATCACTGTCGAAAAATTCATCTGGCAGGGACTCGTCTTTGGTGAAGGGTACATGAGGCTTATACCAAGGCACACCAGACAGGGCTCGCATCAGGCCAGCATGCCACTCCTGAAGCAACCCAGACGAGGATACCAACAGTGAGGTTTAGGGGTGACGGAGCAGCCAAGACCAGTCTCTGCAAAGCTTGCTTGTACCCGGGAGAAGGGCTCATGAGCCTTGAGTGCCTCAATTTGCTGGTAAAAGCGCTCTCCTGCTGCCGCCATGGTCGCGCGTTTGCCCCCGCCTGGGACGCCTCAATCGAGCTATCCTTTGACGCTGCCTGAGCCCAGTGGCGGCAGTTGGCAGATCAAGAAGCGAACAAGTCCTACCCACGACCAAGCCCCACTCCCTGTTCCATCCCCTCTGATATAATCAATGCAGCTGAAGCAAGCTTCAACCGTCACCAATGCTTCTTGTTCCGGATCCCAGATGCGGCATCAAGGCACCGCCGTCGTCTCCTCCCCCAATGCGAGTGAGTGAGTGAGTGAGAAAGTGAGACCGTCACTGCAACCATCATGTCAAACGATTTTTTTTTCTTTTTTTTTTGTTCTTTTTTGATTTTTCTTTTTTTTTTTTTTTTTCATTCATCTGATGTTTGTTGTGTGTCTTTCGATTTCTCTCAAACACTTTGCTACTGATTGATGTCTTTCTCTTTTCTCTCTCTCTCTCCCCTGCCTCTGCCTCTGCCTCTGGCTCCCTCTCCCTCTGTCTCTGTCTCTGTCTCTGTCTCTGTCTCTGTCTCTGTCTCCCTCGAAGTCTCTTACAGTATCGCTCTTTGGCTCTGATGACCACCCAAGCCTGAAGGGTTGTAATCCTCATCCTCGATACATTGCCCTGACCGCGTTGGCTGATTGACAATCGCATGCTTCCCATATGCCAAGCGCAGACTACAAAAATACGATAGCACATGAATTCGGAGCAATGACACTCGAAACGCAACCAGCGAGCAAAAGGTCGATGAGCTGGTCTGTTGAAGCAGCAGCTAAGAAAAGAGGACATAAGAGTCGCAGCTGTGGCTGACTCTATTGTCCTCGGTTTCATGCCGAGTCGCCTTTAGAGCGTTTTGAACGCTTGGCCGCGGTGCGACCATCGCTCTCGGCTGGAACGTCATCGTCGGCTGAGCTGCGCTTGGCCCGGTCTGTCTTGCTCTTATCCTTCTTGGACTTTTTCTCGGAAGCGTCTGTCTCCTTCTTCGCCTTTTTAGACTTCTTCTCCTTCTTCTCCTTCTTCTCCTTTTTTGTCTTCTTCTCCGCCTTCTCCACCTTCTCCGCCTTCTCCGTCTTCTCCGCCTTCTCCGCCTTCTCCGTCTTCTCCTTCTTCTCCTTCTTCTCCGTCTTGTCCTTCTTTGCCTTCTTCGCCTTCTTCTCCTTCTTCTCCATCTTTGCCGGCTTCTCAGAGGAAGCAACTGATTTGGTCTGTGCCGCTCGTGCTGCGGGGGCCGTTTCCGGCTGTCAGAAGCATAGCGCATGAGCATGAGCATGCAAAGCCGCAACCTTGTGCCGGTTTGATCAGGTGCAGCAGTAGGTCGGCACACGCACCTCTGCCCACACTACGGCATCGGCTAGGCTGACTACTTTGCCTCCGGATTGCCTGCAAGCACCAAGACATGCGATGAGAGCCTAAGAAAGATGGCGGAATTCCATGCCCGTAAAAGCCCAGAGCATGCCTCTTACTCTGCTTCCTGAATGCGCTTTAGCTTGCCCGAAAGACTGTGACCATGTCGTGCGGCTCTATAGCATGTCGGCAATATGCAATGAGCGCCGCCGTGGACTGGCTTTTTGGTCAGAACCCCTGATCCAGATAAGACCCGTTGCTGAAGGATGTGCGATGCGTACTTGTGACCAGTCAGACCTCCGCACGCATGGAAGAGTTCCTCATCTGTCATTCTAATACCCATGCAAAGCCATGCGTCAAAAACCGCACGCACCCGGACATGGCAACCTTATTGCCGTGTGCACAGGGGAGGCTCCGGAGGATGTGCCATGGACATACTTTTTGGCATAGTTGGTCGTATCAAAGGAGATGGTTGGACCATCGTCATCGCTATCGGAATCGCTGTCGCTGCTCTCGGTGCCCGCGCTGGGGACCTCGTTCATGTCGCTCCCCGTCATGGTGGGACCCTGGAAGGGCATCGAGGTTGAGCGCAACAGGAACACCCTGATGGCCTCAACAACACAGCAGAAGACACGCGAGAGAGACATGCCGTACCTTGACAAACATGCCATAAAAGCGGCGGCGCTCGCGCTCGCGCGGCTCTTTGGAAGAGACGCGGCCTAGGTCGGCTTGGCTCGTCACCTTGATCTGCACCAGAAGAAGGAAGCATGGATTTTGGATCATGAGATAAGAGGGCACCAAGCTTCCAGGCAAACGAGCGCCCCTGAACATTACGCACGTCTTCGTCATCTGAATCATCAGCAATCACAATGTTTGCCGAGGCCCGGTTGAAAGCATGGTCCCACCATGGGAACGTAAACTCCTCCGAGTTTTTGCCTCCAATCTGTACAGGGAGGGCGTAAGGAAAAATGATCCAAGATCAGCATCGCAAAGCCAAGCATGTTGCCGAATGACAACGTTGCCCCCAGTCATCTTGATTCGAAACGAAACCTTACCCCGGCTTTGTCGAATTTGAGCTTGACCTTGATGGCATCAGCGCGACCTGAGCGGCTCCGTCCCAGACCCTGGCCTGCAAAGGAAACAAAAACATGCAGATGGATAAGGGTCGAGGACAGCTGGGCCGATAACCTTGCCCCGTAACCCAAGCCAGGGAGAAGGGGAGAAGAAAGCAGGGAGAAGGGGCCAAGCAAAAACTGAAGCGACCAACCCTCTGCCCAGCCCTGCTTGGCCAGGATCCGGCGCGCGTAGTCCATGTGGCTGGTGTCCAACCAAAGGCTTCTGAAAACGGGCCCAGGTCTTGGTCCCACCCCAAAACCTGCACCACCAACGCCCACCCCCGTCGCAACCAGGGGCAGGCCAAGCCACAAGCGCACACACACACGCACGCACGCACAGAGACACACACCCCCACGACTTGACCGGCACACACAGGGAGAGCGCGAGAGCGCGAGAGAGCGAGAAAAGCGGCAAAAGACACACACACAAGCAAGAGAGAGAGAGAGAGAGAGTGTGTGTGTGTGTGTGTGTGTGGATCAAAAAATTCGCGCACGCGGTTCTCCTCTCTCTCTCTCTGCTCTCATTTGTCTGACAAGATCATATGACATGCTGACTATTGAACGTCAAAAGCAGTCACACACACACACACACACACACAGATGCGCATTTGGCTCCAGAATGGCAGCGCCAGAGGAGAAGTTTGACGCCCAAACGGCAGCTTTGCTGAGCAAGGTAAGCCTTGTTCTGCTCGTATTCGGCTGTTCGGATCCGTCCCTTGTTCAGTGGAAGCGGAACTGTTGTCGGTTCTTCATCCTGAAGTTGTTGCTTGGCGCCTGTCCAGGCACATCCATTCGAACGCAAGGAGTTTGGCTACGTGCAACGCTCCGCATGGCGCCACGCGGATCGGCTGGATGGTATGCAGAGCTCGATACCCCTGTTTTAGGCCATCAGATACCATTCTGCCCCCCGACCCCGTTTGCCGTGTCCACGCATGGACTTCTTTGCATATGATGACTTGACCTGACACCTGACGCGGGTGGCTGTGGCCTAACAGAGGAGGTGGTGGAGCTGGACAGCCCGTACACTGCACGATTTGGAGCTGGTTCACGCGTCTTCACTTTTCTCATCCTCGGCGACCAAAATGCCGGCAAATCCACCTTTTTGCATGCTTTTACGCAACACGGCGATATTCATTTTCTGGAGCTCTCGTCGCTTCTACCCATCCTAGCTTCCAATTTTGTCAACACGCGTTTCCTTTGGGAGGTCAGATGCGCCTGCAAACACCCACACACTCGCCCGCTTAACATGCACCAAAATACCATTAGCGTATTCTGCGCTCTCATTCGATATGACCTCAATCCCGCTTGCGCACGGCCCATGCATAGGATGATACCCGCGCCCCCATCGATGAACCACCGTTCCTGGTGCGTCAATTTTTCCCCTGACCCATGCGCACGTACATTGGTGTTACGCCCACACTTTTCATGGCAACGGCCGTAGGACACGGACTTGGGGCGTGCAACTCTGGTCCTGTCTGCCGAAGACTTTGCCTTTTTTGTGCAAGAGCATGATCTATCTCCCTCTCTGATCCTAGACAGCCCACCAGTAAGCCGCGTTCATGCCACATCCCACCCGAAAGAACGGCGCGCGAAGACGAAGAACCCAACACACACGCGACCAGTGCATCATAACCACCCTTTCGACCCTTGGGCTTGTATGACTGACAATTATGCCCCCATTTGCTGCTGCGCATAGGGCACCATCTACTATGTCATTCAATTCCTTGAGCTTGGCGGTGATCACCTCGACCAACTGATGGATGCAACCCTCATTCGTAATCCACAAATTCAGGCCATTGTCGCCCAATCCCGTCATCTGCTCACCTCTTGTGATAAGGTACGAAACCTGGCGGCGTACCAGCAGCCCGTGACTAGCCACGGGCCTGCCCCCGCACCTACTGAAGACCTCTGAATCTGCTGTCCGACCCAGATTGTTTATTTCATCAACACTGCCGAGCTGCTGGCAACGCCGGACGTCACGTATGTTGAGTCTGGCCCATCGACACAACTTGTGCAGTCCGCACACATGCAGCTCTCATTTGGGAATGAGCATGCTCATTAGAGCCTTTCAAACCATTTTTGCGCGTCTGGTGGAGCGCTTTGCCTTCTTGGCACGGACGCTTCCTGCCGATACCAAAGCCATGGCATGTTCCCTGTCTTGAACTTGAGCGCGTGCTCAAACCGTAAACTGGCCAGCAGGCCCATTGGCACGCTCATTCCTTGCTGCCGCGTTTGTGCCCCGTAGCTCTGCCTGACAAGATCTGATGCCGCTGCTTCGGCACGACTACCTCAACTGGCACGCACCCTGTGCCAGCAATACAACCTCTCGTAGGTTGTGCATGCCCCATCAACATGATGAAAAGCCCGACCCAAACGCTCATTAATTTGCATTCGCTTTTCCCGTCGCCGCCCTCGTCATCTAGGCCCACAGCCATCACAGACGATTCTTATGCCCACCTTCTCATTACCGCTCTGCAAGCTATTCAAAGTCGCCAGGGCTGGCAATTGCAAATCTTGGACCATGTTCACCTTGGGTGAGTCATCTCTGTGCCAAACAATCTGCGCGCGTGCGCGCGCGCGCGCGTGCGTGTGCTTTTGGGTGTGTGTCGGTCCAAATGTCTGACCAACCTTGACCTCAGTCAACATGTCCTAGACGACTCGCCTCAAATCATATACCCCGAGGGCCTGGTCACGACACTCGCTGCATTTTTTCGGTATGCTGACGCTGCCGACGCCACCGACAATCTGCTCGTACGCGATATGATCTGGGACCACTCACCCAAATTGTCGCTGACAACCTTGTCCCAAGAGAAAATCTCGTCGAGGAGCGCCATGCCAGCGCGTATACTCTCATCCTCCAGCATGTTGTCCGAGCATACCGTGAGCCACGCTATCGGTACGGCTAGTTCCTCCCTGGTGAAGCCCTTGAAATTCCCGTTCACTCAACACACTGACCATGCAAATATGCTGCATCCGATGCGCACAGATTGGAAGCCCTCAGAGGCGATGCCGAGCAGTTACACCTCTGGTTGACACGGTTGGTTGGGCCCTCTTCCGTCGCCAGCTCGTCTAAAGGCTACCATTTGCTGCAGAAAGCCAGCTGACGCAATTCTGACGTCAAATCGGAGCTTACCATGGTTGTATTCGCTGGTATCTGCGGCGCAGCAAGGGTTTTGCTGATTACCTGGAGGATGCCGAAGTCAGCGAAATTCCCGACGCCTACGCTTTGCAGCACTTTCATCAAGTTGCTGTCCACCTGGCAGAGCATGGTCTGGCTCTCTGTCAACACCGAGCTGGCCATGCTCGTTTAAGCCTGTGTTTTGAAAGCAGGCTGGGGACTTGCTACTGGGCGCCCGGGGCGCCCAACTGCGCCTCGACCGCCCCGCTTGATGTGCCCGCCGATCTTTCTTTGGGTGTCCAGGTAGGTCTTTCTTGCTTGTAAAATGGGTTTGTGTACCATCGTCGAATGGTCGACGTGACATGTGAGCACCCATGCGGTACCTTCTGGCCTCACTGAACGTTCTGCTTGCCCGCCAAAAGATGCGCTTACCTGATGACCCTGAATTACTTGCCGCTGTCACCAAGTTTGGCGAGCAAAATGTGCCTCCCGAGTTTTGGCAAAGCTCGTGCAACGGCACCAACACGGATTTCGATTCAACGACAGCTGATTCACTCGCTGCTGTGGCCCGTCGCCTCGAGGCGCGCGCCCATGCAGACCTACGAGAGGCTCTGCAACCAGCCGTTAGCGACTCTGACGCATGCTTGCGGCTACATGGCTGGCTGTGGCGTTTAGAAGAGGTTATGCTGTGTCAGTTGCGGTTAGGTTTTGCAAACCCACACGCAGTTGCACGCCGCCTGACTGTTTTAGAACTGACAGGCGCTGAGCATGCCCGATTTCAATCACTCCTTGCTCTGCTCGCCGACTCGCTCCTTGCCGGGCAAGCTGTCGACCAGAGTGCAGGAATTCCGACCCAGTCGGGAGTTACGTTGGTGGCCGCCGGGTCCCTTGTCGACGAACAGGACACGAGGCTTTTGGAGCGGTGTCCGCGTTTCAACGTAACTCTACCCTTTCTCATTCTTGACAATGAGACCGCTTCAGCGCCCAGGACGCATGCCCAAGCACTCTGACGCAAGCCTAAATCCACCCCCCGTTGTGACGAGCAAACGCGCATCCGTGTTGACTTTTATCTGAAATGAACATGACTTGTCTATAAGGGTGTAGATTTTGTGGCCGTTTTTTGAGAGCAGTTTTCTTTGACATGGCGCTTCCAGACGAAGCAACAATTGATGTCAAACAGAAGCGCCCAGGACCTGCCCCATGATTGCAATGGCATCAATCTCCCGAGCACGAGCGATAAAGGTCTGCCATCGGATCGGATGCCGCCAGAAATTGGACCAATACATGAATGACCAGTCACATTGTACAACGCATGAGGAACCTTGCAGAAACGTACCTCATTGGCTTTGGCCAACACACTGAGAGCCATGGCCGCATTTCGCTAACCCCCGTACGGCAGTCGAGGTGAGCCAAGTTGCGCAGCCACAGCTGGGGAGTGTGCGCAGCCGTGATGACGCCTTTGTCCAAGCGGGAGCGAACCTACCTGGGTTGGACCGGTGGTGGACTGCACAATTCGCAGTAGTGTGCGGATAACGTCTGTCTTTTCAAACATGCTTGCCACAGAGGGATCCGCTTTGACGGATCGGCCCACAAGTAGAGCCAAATTACCAGTTCGCTAAAGGATGACACAGCATGGTATGAGCCTTGCCCCTGAAACCCTTATCTTGACAGTCAATGACTGCGTACCTCAAGTGCCTCGCTTGGAGACGATGCCAACACCTCGACTAGCGTGCTTGCATGCCCAGCTGTTAAAAACGACGCAGGTGGCACGCCGCTTTCCAGCAAGGCCACAAGCGCCCGCGCAGTAAACTGGGATAAAAGCTTCAATGGGGCCCACGAAGAAGTCGAGAAAGCGCACGCACGACATCCGGAGAACAGTTTGCATCAGCACAAGATGCTGTCGGGCCAGAGCACCATACGTTCAGATGACGACGTACCTCATCCTTCTTGGTCAGCAGCTTGAAAAGTCGGCGCGCACCCTTTTGTTCTACAAATACGGCTGCGCTGTCCGTGGTGGCCAAACAAGCCGGCAGGATGGTAACCACCTTGATGCGAGCCTGCAAAGTCGATTGTCCACCAAAGGTGGCCGCAGTTTGAGGGTGTGCATTTGGCTGCTGCGGCTGACGGGTAGGGGGGCGACGCACTACGTACGAGACGATCCCGTGCGGTGACCAAAAACTCAGCGCAAGCTTTGACCACGCTCGCTTCACCAAAATCTGCCAAGGCCAATCGCTGACGTGCCAGCCGCAATAAAACACCCAAAAGCTCTCTAAGCTCCTCCCCATCTTGAGTTGTCCTAAGCAAAAGAGGACAATGCTTGCATCAGCTTTCGGCTTCTTAGGCTTGAGGAATGTTTGAGTTGGAGACAAGGAGTAGACCCACGAGGACTCGGCGCGAAGAAGATGACAAGAACACAGAGGCGCTGGTTCTTACTTGCTGTCATTAGAGGCCGGGGCGGCCGACATGAGGGTCAAAGCACGCGCGAGCAGATCCTTCTGTAGTCCGCGCTCAACTACCGCTTGCGCTGCCTCGGCGTCTGCAGCGGCCTGTGCCAGACACCCCAGGGCGGCGATGCGTCGTATGATGTCATTGTCGCGTATCAAAAAGGCGAGTTTGCTCAATGCGCCTGTCACAGCAAGGACATCTCGGCTAGCAAGATACAAACACCCAGGCAGGGAATAAGACGATGCAGATCAGCGTGTACAGGTTGACATGAAGCAGCTGGACCCACCCAAGCTCGCGGCGACTGGCCAGCGCAAACTGCAGCGCCTGTAAACCTAGCTTGGCTGTGCCTGGTCCATGTCGTTGCGCCGCCTCAAGTAGAGGCGTGGTCCACAAATCCGGTTGAAAAGCCTGGCCACAAAGCGGGGGAGATGTCGGTCAACACCAGGCGACAATGCAAAGAGCAAAGGACAATACAATGCATCACCCGCGCGCAGGGGAGGGGATGAGGAGGACAAACGGTATGCTGCGAGGCCGACACAGTCCCATTGCACGTACCTTTGCAGCGCTTTGACCATCGCGAACGGAAAATACGGCGCACAGCGCCAAAAGAATACTTTCAGCGACCTTATCGTCATGGGCGGCACGAGTCAGAAGCACCCAGCGCTGCTGGGTCCCATTGGTCTCCAGAAAAGCTTGTGATAAGGAGAGCAGTGGATTTTCCTCGCCTTGCACAAGACGGGCCACACAGCGCCAGAAAAGGATGATTGGCTCAGGAAGGATGGCCAAGAGTGCCTGGTGATCAGTGCTCGCTGCCTCGGCATACACGGCCAAGAGGGTGGAACGATTGATCATGTGTTGAACGTTGCGGCGCAAGAGAGCCGCACGAGCGCATTCTGGATCCACCATCTTGTTGCTAGCGGCGCTCAGGGCCTCCAAAGAGGCTTGCAGGCCGTCCACAGCTGTACCCAGGGCCTCAACGGCCGCTGTATAGGCGTGGTTGGTCTTGCGCGGAAGATGGCGCTGCTCCCACAAAGGTTCGAGGTACACGCGATCGAGCTCTGCTTCAGCATCAATGTAGGCCTGGTACTTGGCCACCAGTCCTGAAACGGAAGAGCCTGCTAGCTCTTCTTGCTCGAGGGATGCCTTGGTGCGCTGATCGGCCTCAGCGCGTTGACGACATTCTGTCAACGCTGCTTGGGCTGCCGCACGGGCGCTTCCTTGGCTGACCTTGACGGCAGTCTCCATGGCAGTGATAGCGTCGGCGAAACGACCGAGCCCCTCCAAAGCCTGGGCCTTTCGAAAGAGCGCCTTGCCATGTCGGTCGTGCAACCGCAGAGCCCATTCGCAGTCAGAGAGAGCGCCGGCAAAATCAGCCAGCTTGAGGCGCGCCGCGGCCCGGTTTGTGTAGAGGGGCAGGTGGTCGGGCCATTCACGCAAACCTTGCGTGTACAAATTCTCAGCACGGGCCCATTTCTGCTGGCGGTAAGCCACGTTGCCCTCGTCCTTGAGCTTGGCCCCTTCCCGTTCGCCGATGGCGCGGCGCTGTGCTCGGGCTTCGGCATCAGCTGAGAACCCCTGCATAAAGGCATCTGCGCTGGTCGTTTCGGCGGGCGCCTGGATTGGTGTAATGGGCTGTTCGGCCTGGCGATTGATGAGTGTCCGCTCCTGCGTCACCTTGCCGTCCGCATCACCGCCCAAGCGAGACAAAAGTGCATCGGCCTTGGCACTGGCACCTTCGCGGTCTGTGTGGAGCCCCTGCACAGCAGCGGCGACCTCGTCCACCTTGCTGAGAAAGTCATCCAGGTCGTTTCCAGCCATGATCAGCAGTTTCCAACCTCCCAGCTACTTGACCCCAGCAGACCTTACCCCCGTAGCTGCCTCGCCCCCCTACACCTACACCCTTCAGCATCTGATTCATCCAGCCTTCACGCTCCCTTCTCTCTCGCGCGCACACGCTCGTGCCCGACTGCCGGCGGCTTCAGACGTCGCCTGCTCAGAAAAAAAAAACTCAGTGGTCACAAGAAATGATTACATGTGGTATTCTCACCGTCACAAACGTTGCTAAGGAAGCCACAAACGCAAAAGGGGGAAAGGAGGATGCGAAAAAAAAAAAAGCTAAGAAAATTCTGGTAAAATTGCAAATTAATGCCCGCTGTGCGGTGCTATAGTCGGGTTGACGGGTCACTGCCGAGTTCTGATTGGGTTGCATCGAGGTAGCCACATGAGACTACTATGGTGCTGTGCGTGCTCTTCTAGCTGAAGGACCAGACCGACTCAGCAGACCAGGAGCCCCCAGACCAGTGTTTGTTTGTTGCGCAGCACAGACGTCCAAGTATTCTTTCGTAAAATTAACGGGTCATCACTATTAAAAACGATCAAGATCTGTGTATGCCTGAGCTGAGATGCAGAATAAGGGTTCGATGCTGGGTCACCTGAGGTAAGGGAGGCTGGCACATCAAGGTTGCGACAAACACGCCAGCCGACAACCGCCCGAGTCTAAGCGGGGCGAAGGGCGCAAATAGCCAGAGGAGAGCCATCACCACGCGACACGCTGCTGGCAGAGCCCTGCTTAAACGACCATCCATGTGGGCACGAGTTGGCAGTCCCCTTGGTGCGCACAACACAGGTTGTTTTGCCAGCACAGCTCGTGTGATACTCGTACGCCACTGCCAGTGGATCGGCAGCTGCAGCCTGTCCACAGTCAGCCTCAGTCACGTTGTCAATACTGCAACTGGGCATCGTAGCCCCACTCGCATCGACACAGATGCCTAACCCCAGGGCTGGCCAGGTGACGCGCCCAGCAGCATCGGGCTCAATGCCATTGGCCAACAGAGCCGTGAGTAGGTCAAGCGCTGCCGAACTGGTTGCCATAGTGGCCACTGTGCACGGGCCGTCCCACGCCAGGCCGTAGGGAGCAAAACCGTTGTCGCTCGAGTTGCTACAGGAGGCCCGATCCAAGAGCAGATTGACGTTGCGTTGCAAGAAGAGCTGCATGGTCGCTCGAAAAGCTTCATTGTCGGAGCCATCATCCAAAGGCAAAGCATCCAGCATATAACCCAGCCGGCGAGCGAAAACACCCTTGAAGATCTGCTGGTCACCGTCGCAGGACGCGCCACACGGCTCAGTCAGGGCCCCCGCGGCACTCGCCAGGTTGGTAGAGGCGGCCATCGCCACGGCGCGAGCCACGGCTGTCGCGCCGGTGGAGTTGGCAAAGCGATCAATGTAGACGGCACCATCCAGAAAACAACCCTGGTTGTACGTCCACGTGGTCCCATTATTGTTCTGGCAGTTGCCATCAAGGCCGTCGTTGACGAGGTGGTTCGCGTCGATCATACCGCTCTGAACAAACCAGCGCCAGGCATTTAGTGCCCAGTCGAGGTAGTAGGTGGAGGAACGATTCACCAGCGCAGCATAGGGCTGCAAGCGAGCCGAAGCGGTAATGAAGAGCTCGGTAGTGATGGCATTCTTGTAAGGATTCGTGGGCGCTGGGCACCACAGCACCCCGCCGCCGCACGTATCAGTCTCCCAACCGTGAGCCACCACGTAGTCATGAATAATGGCAGCGCGGTCAAGGTAGGTGCGGTGGCCCGTGACCTCGTAAATTCGAATCCAAGCGTTGAGCCACCATTGGTGGTCATCGAAGCACTTGTCCAGTACAGCCGCCGTCCGTGCAAACGTGTTGGCAAAGATGTCGCCGTAACGATCGCGGCTGTGATTACGCAGCGCGAGCGAGAGGGCCGCGAGTGTGTCCAGGGTATTGCCGCTTTGCCACAGATCCTCCGTCGGAAAGATGCCCTGGCTCGTGTTGTACTGGCACTGAATCAGCCCATCGGCCAGGTTCACGGCTCGCACCTCGAGATCGCTGGCGCCGGTCTCTGCCTGCGCGCGATTCACCCCAGCAACCCCCACCACAACATGCGCCACCATCCCCACACATAGGAAGGTTGCAATGGCCCCAGGACTTGCCCACCGAGTGCTCCGCATCATGGCACCCGTCGAATGACGATCGTGCGCGTGCGACTAAAAATTCACTTGTCAAGCACACACACACACACACACACACACACACACACACACACACAACACAACACAACACCATGGCGTAAATATACGACAAGTTGCTTCTTTAAGTCCAAATATTTCTGCAGTTTCCTGTGTTTGGAATATTAACAAAACTACAACAACTCCAATGTGTCATTACATTATTGTGATGCCAGAACAAGACTTGATTGCCTGGGCTGACGAGTTGGAGATGAAGAGTGAAACGGCTCGAATTTGTATGGATGCAATTGATTTGGTCGGGGATGCCGTTTGGTTACTGCCACAGCACTGCAAAGTGGGGTCGCCATCAGGTTCAGGGCCAGCCAATTTGACTGGCTCCCAGCTGACAAGGTACGTCCTCTTTTCAGAGGGGTACAGGCAGGTCAGGGGTCGGTGTGACTCACAGCGACGAGACGGTTGTGTATTCGCGAGCACGAATGCCCATGCCCTCCAAGTCGTGGAGGAAGCGGCGAGCCAGCTTGACATCCAAGGGGCGCATGACACCCTTCGTGTCGACCTCTGGCATCTTCTCCAGAAGGTACTGAGCAGCCAGGGCGGCGGGAGCACCCACGGTGCGAGCCATGGCGGACAGGCCTTGTGGGACCTTGTCACCGAGAAGAATAAGCTCCGCCTCAAGGCGCTTCTTTTGGGTGGCGTTGCGGGCCTCGAAGATGTGCTGGAGGACAACCATGTCTTGATCTTCCTGCTGGTACTGGTTCTTGGCCCAAAGAGCGTTGGCCAGACGATCCAGGGGCGTGGGTCCCTGGAAGTCGTCGCTGGAAATATTCAAGTGCTTGAGCATCTCAGCTGCTGCGCCCTGAACCTCAGAGATGTCCTTGGGGTGAGCACGCTCATCCACAGAGAGCAGACCGGCCTGAGCAAGCGATTTGATGGCCATCCAGAATCCAGGGAAGCGGAGCGTGCCGCGGATGGCTGTCTCAATGTGATCCGGGTCAAAGCCGTACAACGACTCGTATTGCAGCGAGTCACGGTTGGGAACACCTTCGAGCTCAAACTGGCCGACGCGAAGGGGGCGGACGTCCTCAAACAGGCGACCTAGACGTTTCACCCAACATGCCCATGCAAGAGTGAGGACAGGGTATAGTGCTCAACACACACACACACACACACACACACACACACACACACACACACACGCACACATGTGCGTTGTTTCAAACGCGCCATGAAGAATTACATGCAGGTTGAAGCGAAAGCAAGCCATTGAAGGCATTGCAAAGCGGCACGGGTTGATACGTACCGGGCTTCACTTGGCAAACTTCGTTGTCCCAGCGGTAGCGAGCAGCATTGCCGGCGGCCACAAGCACACCACGAGGGGACCAGCTAAACTTGTACTTGAGGGGGTCGGTCTGCGAGACGCAGTGCGCCGCGGGAAGGCCACCGCACCACGACTCAAAGCGTGTAATGTTGAGGTTTTCCTGCTCAAGGCGATCAATCATGTCAACGGCCAAGAAGTGATCGATGCCCGGGTCGAGACCGCACTCGTTGAGGATGGTAATGCCGGCCGAGCAAGCCTGGTTGTGCAGGGACTCCATTTCGGGGGACACGTAGCTGGTGGTGAGCATGTCGACTTGATGGTCGATGCACATCTTGGCCACGTTGGCATGCAGGGTGGCAGGAAGAAGGCTGACAACGAGGTCAGAATCGGCCATCAGGCTGCCGACCTTCTTGGTACCAGCCGATGAGGCCAGGTCCACGTGATGACAGTCGGCGTCGGTGATGGGGCACTTGGGATCGGCACTGGCCACGCTCAGATGCAGGTTGCCGTCGAGGCGACCTCGCAGGTGGTCCACAAAGCTACCGGCCACGAGGCCGCTGCCCAAGAGAAGAACACGCTTCGGGGAGAACACTTGGATGGGGTTGCTGGCGGCCTGCTGTTGTTCCTTTTCACGGCGAAGGTCGGAAATATATTCAAAGCTGGGAGTCAAGCGGCCATTGCTGGCAATGGTCGCGCGCTCAAGCCAAGGGTGCAGGGTGTTTTGCTCAAAGGGTTTGGTAGCATCAGACATAGCCAGGCTTTCGACAAAGGGCAAGAGCATGTCTCCAAAGTGCTGGCTGCTCTCCATGGGCAATTCAGCGGGCAGATTGTCCACGCTGCCCAAGAGCAAACCATCAGCTTCCCAGCTGTACACCTGCGAGGATGAAAAAAAAAAAAAAAAAAAAAAAAAAAAAAAAAAAATAAGAAGGCGGAAAAGAAGCAGAAAGGGAAGCAAACCGTAGGTAGCAAAGGAACGAGGAAAAAAAAAAAAAAAAAAATCGCCATGAACGCGAGAAGATAGCGAACAGGCGGATAGAAACGGTGCTCATCGCTTGTTGTGCGCGCTTTGTAGAATCACGACGCCCACCTGTTCATCGGTCTCCGGGTTGTGCACCAAAAACGGCTTGTCAATTTTCGTGCATTCGCGGGTGAAGGAAATGCTGCCGTAGGGATCGGCGCTGATATCGGCAATAGCTAGCAGACGGTTTTCGGGGTTGCGGTACAGATCCAAGGCTTGTTCGTCAGTGATGAGACGGGGGAAGCGCTCCTCCCAGTACATGCAATTGACGAGCGCCGTCAAGTAATGGGCTAATCAAGCGCAGCAGGATGGCAGGGGTAAGCTTGAGGTGATTCGCCCAGTAACATCGCTTCTGTGGCTCATGCTAGAGCAGGAGGTGAAGGGAGAGACGGGGGCAACGAACCATAGTCGCGGTGGAAGCGAGCGTTGTAGAGTTCGGGGTGGTTCTCATAGTGGTTCTAGAATGGACGAGCGCGATGGTCAGACGTTGCACGAGCCGGCCTTCAGCCTACAAAAGGCCAGATGTCCAGGACAGGTCATACTTTGTCAAAAGGGGCGCTGGGGTTGGAGGTGAGCTCAACCAGGTGCTCGCGCTCCAGCTTGACGCCATACACCACTGGGGTGGGCAAGGACCGGGTCGAAGATGTTAGTGAAGGGGTCAAGGAATGAAGAAAGGTAAGGAGATGACGACAGAACGGGCCCGGCGTCGAGTGGCTTACAATTGCGATCGCCACTCTTGGCCACATCCTTCAGATCAGTCACGTCAATGTATTCGTGGGGCAATTCTTCAAAAATCTCAAGAGCACCCTTGGTGACATTGCCAGAGCCTGCGTTCACCACGTCGGCCGATGTACGTGCGCGGTGACGGCAGGTGAGGTGCACCAAGGACCAGTGCAGTCAGAGCGGGCAGGGCGGGGCGGGTAGCGCACCGGTGAAACCAAAGATGACGGGGCCAAAAGCTTCAGGGGTGCCGTTGACCAAGATGGTATGGCCAACGAGCTGCAGGGCGGTGCGGGCAGCAGCCACCGAGTGATAGTAGTCACTGTAGCCACCACCCAAAAAAGGGTTTGAGGCGCCTGCGGAGGTCGTAGGAATACGTCAGGTCAGCCACAGAGAGAAGAGCATGGTCTGCCGCGGGGAAAGGCTGCTGCGCGGGTGCATCGACTGACCAAGGCCGAGCATACGATCACCAAGACCACGAATCAGATCAATCATGCCCGCAACGCCGGCAAAACGGCCGAAACCAATGACACGGCGACCCTCCCTGCGAACGCATGCGTCCAAAGCCGCATGTGTGAGCGGGGCTTTGCAACGCTTGACCGAGTTGTACGTCGCGGTCACGAGAACGTGCAAAGTAGTGGCACCGACTCACTCGTTGACAATGCACTCGTAGTCAATGAGACGAATGTTCTTCTCCAGAATGGCATCAAGCAGGGGCATGTTGTCGGCTTGGGCCTTGATGGTGTGGGAAAAGCAGACGTAGCTATAGCAGCATGACACGCGAACCAGGTTGTCATTGTCAGTGACGATGAAGAAGCTGAAGGTGGAGCAGATGAAGAGGGGCAGGCAAAATGCCAAACGTTGAAGTAAAGAGAGGGAAAGAATTGGGGCATCCTACGTTTTGTTGGGTTCGAGAAGATGGATGGGAACCTCCTTCACGCCGAGGATGGTGTTGCTAGAGGCAATATCCTCCGTCACAATGGCACCCGCTGCCTCGTACTGGCGATCCGTGAAGATGCTGCCATGACCAGTTGGTGAATGGGGGATGAGGTGATGGGAGCGGGGGAGGCAGTGCGCATTGATGCCATGTGGGTGTGAACAACAAGCCACATGTGCACTGACCGCATGGGAGAGGGTTGAATGAGGACCTGGATGCCCTTGCGCACCAGTTTGCGAACGTGGCTGGGCGTCAAGGGAGCGCGGCGCTCCCATCGATTCTTGGTCTCACGCCGCACGGCAATCACTGCCCGTGGGCTGCGCGATGCAGAGGTGGTGTGAGGTGATTAACCACAGCCTTGGTTGTTGAAATGCTCATAGAGTGCTTTTGCAGTGGTCGGCGTCGGCTGCGTGGCGAGAACGTACTTGGTCAGATGCTTCATGTGGCGAGCGGTGCGCCAGAGCGGCATGTTGCCGATCAGGGGCGCGGTGCGCACCCCGCCGAGCGTCAGCATCTCTGCGGTGGGCGCAACCAAGAGTCGACAGCAAAAGGATCCTAGAAGAAAAGCTGAGTATCCATGGCAGCCACGTGCGGGGAGGTGCGAGAGGAAACGGCGTGAGCGCGAACGGCGGTTGAGGGATCATCCCCATCCTCAAGCTCCTGCCCACTGGCATCCGATCATTCCGGGAGAAGAACCCAGGGAATGCATTTACCCCAGACGACATTGCCCGACCCTGTTCAACCGAGTCTCCCCCTTTTCCTCTGAACACCAGGTCAACAAGCGCCACACACACACACACACACACACACACACCCGCGCCCAGCGCGCACACCCCACTGACCTCGCAGTCAAGCACGCCCCAGTGACGGAAATAAAATACAACAGAGAGAGTGAGAGTGTGCGTGTGGTGTGTGTGGTGAGAGAGAGACAGAGACAGAGAAGAGACAGAGACAGAGACAGAGACAGAGACAGAGACAGAGACAGAGACACAGACAGAGACACAGACAGAGACAGAGACAGAGACAGAGACAGAGACACAGACAGAGACACAGACAGAGACAGAGACAGAGACAGAGAGTTGTTGGCAAGGTACATCCGGATGTACGTATTGTTTGTGTTTTCTTCGTTGTGTTTCTTTTGTTTCTTTTGGTACCTTTCAGCCGTTTGAAGGACAACGGTCGAATGAATCGATGGTGTGGGATGGCTGGATGGGTATGATGATTGGAAGTCTTCGGGACCGTTCATTGGGTGGACTTGAAAAGCCTGTTCATTTGCTAGCCTCTAGCCTCCCCCATCTTCTTGGTGCGACAAGACCCCGGGCATCCATCAGGCTGAGATGCTGTCATCTGCGTGACCTGCACCGCCTCACCGCTCTTCTTCAAACGTCCGCTCACACACACACACACACACACACACACACACACACACACACACACACACACACACACACACACACACACACACACACACACACACACACACACACACACACACACACACCGCTCAAGCGCAAAGCGTTACGTTTGGTAGACTTGGCAATCGTTACATCACCGGATCAGACACGGAGCCGGATGTCGTAATTGTCAGCGTTTATAATTGGTAGCAGCCACGATGGCGGCGGCGGCGGCGGAGGGGCAGGAGGTGATTGATCTGACGGCCGACACGGATAACGACAGCGTCGAGCTCACCTTTGAGGACCTGGTCCGGGATGGGGGCAAGGGTAAGGTAGACGCGAGCAATGGGCAAGCATCTGCTGGTGCTGCACGAAATCGGGCTGAGATGGAGACCACCATGCCCGAGTTTATCGCCCTCGAGTCGGATGACGAGCAGCGAGCTCAGCGCGGGGAGCCCTCGAACAAGCGGTCCAAGTTTATGACGGCCCGCGAGCGCTTTCAGTTGCGCCGTGAAGTGCAGGCCAATGCCCTCAACAACCAGTCTCTCACACCCTGGCTACGACAAGGACCGTACTCTCGCACACGAATCATTCGGTATGTATGAGCCCCCTCTCTTGTTCTGTGTGTTTGGCGAGTGTCTCGGCGTGTGCGGACGCGCTCAGGCAATTCATTCGTTCTGCTTGGTTCACGACCGCCATTGACACCACAGACTGCACCAGGAGATTGAAGACTACTACCGCTACATCTCGCCAACGCCTGCCGAGAATCGCATGCGCGACGAGGTTGTCGCCCGCATCTCCGAAGTTGCCAACAAGCTTTGGCCTGACGCCCAAGTGTTGCTGTTTGGCTCCTTTGCTGCCGGTCTCCATCTTCCCACCAGGTTTGTTCAGTCGTTCATGGCTTGCCTCTTGTTTCTGTTCGTTGCTAGACTGGTTTACAGCAGCCTGTTTTTTTCCAAAAAGAGCCCGTGCCACATCCTCATGCCCTCGCTCTCGCGTCTGGGGTCCGAACCGCCGTCGTCGTCTCAGCGATGTGGACTTGGTGGTTCTTGGAGAGTGGCCGCGCCTGCCGCTGCGGCCACTCAGCCGCGCTCTGCTCAAGGCAGGAATTGCAGTTGACATGCAGGTCATTGATAAAGCCCGGGTTCCCATCATCAAGTTTCGTGATCGTGTGACGTCCCTGCAAGTCGATGTTAGTTTCAACATGCCCGGGGGCCCGGAAGACGCCCAAGCGCTCAAGGTTTGTATCGCCTGCTTGCGTTCATTGGCATACACGTGAGTAACGGCCACCTCAAGTCTACACTGTCATTCATCTACCCTGGCACCACACGCAGACCCATTGCCGTGACTATCCAGGCCTCAAACCCCTGTTTCTAATCTTGAAGCAATTCCTTCTGTTGGTATGTACTGCGGCATGCACGAGGAACCAGCCATGCAACGACGCTTGAAGCCCTGCCTCTAAACAACTCATGCGCAATCCATGTACTGTACCACCCTTTTATGCCTGGGCGGATGCATGCCGTGGACGCTATGTGGCAGCGCAACCTCAATGAGGTCTTTCGCGGAGGACTCGGCTCGTATGGTCTCTTCCTCATGATTCTCAGCTTTGTGCAAGTGCGACCTTACAAGACGACCAAGGCAAGCAACCTAGGCGTTCTCTTGCTTGAGTTTCTCGAACACTATGGCGTCAACTTCAACTATGAAAACGTTGGCATTGGGGTTCGCGGTGACGGCGAGCTCTTTCCCAAGGTATCCTTTGCTCTTGTGTTTGTCGCCAATGGCAACCATGACGCTCAACTCGCTGCTGGCCTCACACGTGCTGTTGGTTGTCATAGCTGGATCGTTTCGATGGCTCCTCGGACCAGCGTCTGTGTGTAGAAAACCCTCGGGATACTAGTACGTCAGGCTTCGCCTCAGGGGGGCTTTGTGACACTGATACGGGACACTCGCTTTTCAGTCCCTTTGACACTCACGGCATGGGTCCGTGGCTTGTGACACAGCACTCGACGTTACTTGGAATTCCTACCGGATGTTTGACATTCAATACAGCTTTCGCCACGCCTTCTACGTGCTTTCATCCATGATGGCTACCGTTCGTGTGCCACCCTACGAGCACCCATCCTCCCTCCTGGGTTTGCTCCTCTGTGTCCCCGAGGACACGCAGAGCTATCGCGCTTGGGTTGAAGACAACTTTGGCGATCATGCCGATGATAACAACTCGACGAGTCCCGCCCAAAGACGTTCTTAAGACTGGCCCTCTCCTCCTTCTTTCTTCTCCTTCCAGCCTTTTTTTTCAATCCTGGGCATGCTGCGCACGCCAAGCGTTTACCTCTCGTTTCCCTCGCCGCTTTTTACGCGCAGGCCCACCTTATGGGCTGCGCTGCGTTGATGGCCTTGCTGCGCAAGGTGTGTTGTGTTGTGAGTGAGGTTTTGATGCTGACAATTGAGAAGTCCGCAGTCTGACAAAACCGACGAAGCGAGACGAAGAACAAGTTGCAACCTGTTCAGCAAGCCCTGTGCTCGACGAATGGTCGTTCGAGCACAGCAGAGGCATTTGAGTTCCGAAGGCGCAGGCAGAAGGAGACAACGCCGCACGTTGGGAATGGATCGTAGATCATCCACGGAAGCACATGGGCACGGAGAGGCGTCTCAAAAGGTGAATGTGTTGATCCCAACCCCCAGCCCCAAGCGAGTCAAGAGATCCGCTGGCGCTGAACAGAAGAAGGCTGTTGCTTCGCTGTTCAACTTGGCGGCTCGAGGTCAGGCCCAACGGGGCGGGGCGACTACCCATGGACCAGCGACTAAAGAATCAACGCATACCGTTTCCAAAACCGTGCAGCCACATGCCTTATCGGACGTCATTGCTCCGGACCTCCGTCTGAGGCGCTGGCAGCTTTTTGCGCCCCGCGAGGCCGCAGCTTGGATGAATATCCTCGAGCGACCGGGCGCCATCCACTACAAAAGCGATGACGAGGCTCGCATCAAGGTTAATATTTTGGGACCCGCGGCCTCTGCTGCAGTCTCCGGCGCTGTTTGAGACACCATTTGGCCGATGGTTTATGGCGCGTGCGAAGGGTTTTTTTGAGGGTTCATATCCTTCCATCTATGCCCTCTCACGGCCTCTGTCTGTTTGCTGGTTCTTGGGCTCTGGCATTTTTTTGGGCCTTGCGTGGGACATAGGTATTCAACAAGGAACACGTGCCGCCCCGCCGGATCGCGGCCCACGGTGATGCAGGCGTCAACTATACATACTCACACAAGACCATGCTCGCAGCGGAATGGACGCCACAGTTGCGCCAGCTCAAGGAATACGTTGAGCAGACCACGGGATATGAATACAACTTTGTGCTCATCAATAGATATGCAGATGGACGTGACACCATTGGGGAGCATCAGGACAATGAGTCGGAGCTCGACCCAGACGTGCCCATTGCATCCCTGACCCTCGGGGCAACGCGCGACTTTGTGCTGCGCCATCGGGATGTGCGTCGCAAGTGCGGGGCCCACTCCAAACTCAACCCGCACACGCTGCCGCTACCGAGTGGCCTTTTGCTGACCATGGAGGCACCGACCAACAAGTGTTGGTATCACAGTGTTCCGCGACGGAGTCTTGCCCGGTGCCCCGGTCCGCGCATCAACCTCACCTTCCGACGTATTCGACCGGGCCGCCATCCTGGCGCGCGTCCAGCAAAACGTGTCGATCGAGCCGATACAAAGTCATGACAATCGATTCCAAAATAATCAAGGCCGTATCATATCACGACACAGGGGCACGATAAAGAGGACAAGCACAACAGGAGACATGATAAGAATAGACCAACACGGCTCTCACCCACAAGCAAAAAAAAAAAAAAAAGCCCCCATTTAGCACAATTGTATGATGCAGCAGGGCAAGGCAGCACAGTACACGAGGAGGAGAACGCGCAAACGATGGTATAAAGAACAAAGGTTTGGTTGGCCCGTCGCCGCGCGACAAGGCAGGGGGAGGGCCGAGAAAAGAGGGAGACGAAGCACGAGTCACAAAGGGGTGGCCATGGGCTGCAGTGGGTCACATAATAAACTGGAAGACACGGGCGGAACATGCAGAGACCAGCACACACACGCAAAAACTTGCGCGATTGGGGTCAAGAGAACGGGGCGGCTGAACAACACGCTGTCTGCTTCGCAATCAGGACAACAACGACAAGAAGACGTAAGAACAACAACATCAACAACAACAAAAGTCAGCCGCAACCGTAAATTAGCATCTCAATAAAACTGGGGATCGTCAAACATGACTTCATCGGCAAGGTCCATCTCTTCATCATCCATGTAAGCCTCCTCGTCCTCGCCCAAGCTGGTCGGGCTACAGTTCCACGGTGCAAAGGAAAAATAAAGGAGGAGTGAGCCTAGGCCTACATCCAGCGGCAAAAAGGCAAAGGGTGCAGCCATGGTAGGAGATGACGCGCTAACCTCATGCCCTGGCAGGTGAAGAAGAGCAGCTTTTTTTGCCGTTTGTTGTAGAAAAAGTAAACGAAATTCCAGAGGGTGCCTGCCTCGGTGAAGGGATCCTCGCCCGCATCACCGCAGTAGGAGAAGATTTCGCATTCGGCCGGTTGTATAGACTTATCCAGAGCGTCCCACAGATTTCGACGCACCAGCTCATAGTCACTGCCCAGTGCGGGTAGAAGGTTGGCTGATGCAAAAGCCGGCACAATCGAGCACACGGTGAGGCCACGAGTGCCCCCCCCCCCCCCCCCAAATAAAGCAAAACAAAACAAAACAAAACACACCAAAACAAAACAGAGAGCAAAGAAAAGCAAAAACAAAAACGAAACACCAGTGCGACACCGAGCCCCAAGACGGGCCCGAGCAAGCGAGGGCACAACATCTACCTTCAATGTTGCGAGCCACGTTCGTGTAGTTGGGTTCACGGGCAAACTCGGAGGCCCGCGCATTGCTGCAGGAGCAGCCGTTTAGGACGACCCAATGAGGTTATGCCGAGCATGCAGAGCAAAAGGAAGGGATGGGCCAGACAGACAGCAGGCACGCACGAGAAGTCGTATTCGGGTGAATAAGAGGCGTTGAGAGTGGCCTTGAGGTAGTACAGCATCTTCTGAGTGCACGGAACCGGCTCAAGAGGTGCTGTCATGGAAAAGCCTGGAGGACTGAGCGGTGAGGGGGAAAGAAGCTCTGCCGCGGCCAAGCTGCCGCCTTGTTCCGCTGCCAGCATCTTGTACAGCTTCTTGTCATCTCCTGCCATTTTGCTGTGCGCACACGACCGCCATGTTGTCCAGCAGCAACGAGGGGAACAAGGAGCAAGGAAGCGTGAGAAGGGCGTAACGGTCGAGCAATCTGACGTTGCCGACCCCAAATCTTCACAAAAAAAAAAAAAAAAGAAAGGGCAGACAAAAGAAACAAGCGCAAATCAACAAAAGGAAGAAGAAGAAGGATGATGGGGTTCGGGATCATGGCCCAGGGCGGCCGAGGTTTGCCCTTTTGGCGTTCTGGTCTTGCCCAGAAGCACCCTGGGCCGCGGGGCAAAGAGGCTGCGGGGCAAGTCAAAACTCTCAAGGCAAGGGCAGGCGGGGGCTCAACGCACCAAGAGTAGACCTCCAAGCGACAGCGAATGCGTTCGCCATCATGAGCGCCAGAGATGGTGGCGCCTAATCTCGTCAGATCGAGGTCCTCAAGCAGCTTCATCCTGGCTGATGACCAATCCGGTGATACGGTCCCGTCAAAGGCCCAACCCGGTCAAGACACGACCACGAACAGCAAACGAGCGAGCGAGAAAGAGAGAGAGAGGGGGGGAGAGAGAGCGAGAAGAGAGCGAGAAGAGAGGCAGGCAGGGAGGGGGGTTCTCGTCAGGTAAATAGAAGAGGCAAGAGAGAGAGACAAGAGACAAGAGAGAGAAAAGAGAGAGAGAGAAGAGAGAAAGAGAGAGATCACACACAGAAAGAGAGAGAACTCTAGCAATCAAAGAAAAGACAAAGGAAAAGTGGTACATGGGTGATAAGAGACATGTACTCGAGGAACTGTGACAACAACTGCAATCACAGCTTAACGTAAACGAAACAGCTCCAGCAGTTTGATCGACAACTTGGTCAACAACCGCTACATCAGGTCCACAGCGGTTACGAGCCGTTTGGCGCGGCGCGTTTCATCAGTCGGCAAGGTGTGTAGGATGTACCGATGCATTTGCAAAGGTTAGCATCCGATCCCAGCTACTCTCATGCACCCTTGGACTTGTTGCTCTTGTTCTTGTTCTTGTTCTCCTTGACACCGCCGTTCCGCCCCGCCCCCGTTGCCGGTGCGATGCCATTCGCCATCCCCTGGTTGCGTGTGTTGTTTTTTTTTTCTTCTCTTCTTCTTTTCTTTTGTTCTCCCTTGTTTGGGTAATCACAGTGCGACCAAATATACACTTTACAACATACTGCGCTTGCAAGCAAGGCAGTGATGAGGACTGCAGCCTATTCCCGCCCCCCATATGTTAGACACAACCTTGAAGTGGCAACCTATGGATTTGCGTCGCTTTATAAGAGGGGCGCTGGGCCCGGCAAAAGATGCAGCAACAACATGCACGCCTGTCAAACATGGTCCAGGTCGACAATCTTGTCGTTGACCAGTCATAAACTAAGTTTTTACACAGGGATCACACTGCGATTGGAGCTCGTGCGCACGCGAGGCGTTTCGCTCAAGATGCTTTTGACCGTCTCCAACTTGGGCGCCGGAATCTCCTCCATGTAACCGCCGTTGCCATCCAAGATCTTGGCGCGCTCTCGCACCTCGTCCATCGTGTACTCTTGTACAAGACAGCCGTCGCGGAAGACGACCACCAATTCATCCTACACATGAGTGTGGCGGCATAAGCACCGCCGCGTGAGTGCCGTGCTTGAACAAGCAGCCGTGTTGCACAGTGCCAGCCAAGCCCTACCGAATCAGGTGTGCCCTGGCCTTCAGTGACGGTGGTCCAATCCCCCGCATCCCCACGTCGAAGCGTCAAGCGACCGCGCTTGGACTTTTTGCCGGGGTCCGTAACGGGATCCTTGTAAACGTCTCGCTGCTCACCATCGACCTCCGCAAAGCTACATTTGTAAGCACACTTTTGCGTGTCCCGATTGTGCTTTTGCAACAGCGACCCTGTTGGATTTAATACACCGCATCGCCCCGCAAATGAAGCCAATGCCATGGTTATGCCGTCTTTTCCTGTGCTCTCCCGCCGACGGCAAGCACACAGAAAGGGACTACAACGTCAACGTACCGCCAGAGCCAAAGGCCACATTGTCTGCCGACCAACCGTTGGCCGCCTACGAAATACCAACCAAATGAGTAGCAGAGGTGGCACTGGGCAAATTGTTAGCGTTGAGGCCGCGCCACTCCTGCAGGCCGTGCACGACCGACCATGTGATGCAGGATCTCGCCCAAACTTTGCAAGCCAATGCCATCACCCTGGATCACGCTGCGTGCATCAAATAGCATCGATGAGAATGAGTCAGAACTTGACAGCAAGAAGCACCTGCCTGTGTGCCAGGAACCAAGTGGCTGTGGATGGCTGCCTGGGCGTAAAACCCCTGATGAATATCGACGCACCGCACGTATGGCGGCAGCATCTTGTACCCTTTGCTGTTGATGGACACGCCAAAAGCCTGGCCCAGAAGCTCGAGGCAGCGCACCACAACAGTGGGGGGATCACCACTGTCGGGCCGAATAACCAGCGTTGAATTGGTTTCACCGCGGCTCATTACCAGATCCTTAAGTTCGCGACCCCATAGGTTCTCGCAGGCGTTCCTAACAAACCGCAACCCGCCGCACCCACGCCAGAATCAGATGCAGCCGCCACACGCTGGGCGCACCAAAGACGTCCTGGGCAAGTCGTGGTGTACCAGATATCGTAGCTATCGCTCACACAGGCCACGAGGCCGGTGGGAAAGCGTTCCAACATGTTGCGCATGGCAGCTGCCTCACCCTGACGCGTCCACGAGGTCATGGTTCTGGCATTGCACGACAAGTGAGGGCTTGGTACACAGCAAGTCATCGGCTTTTGCCACGAGATGTCCGCGCGAGGGTGTCAACACACGTACGAGTGCTCTGAAGCTGGGATGGAGAACCCAGCAATGGGGCAGCCATAGTAGTCGCGCGCCAGCACGACGCCCGCGATCGTGTCCGTCCCTGCCATGCGCACAAACGCACGCAATCATGCCAACGCACGCTGTTCGGTACCAAGCTGCTGTCAATGATCACTGCCCACACAGTCCGGTGACGTACCCAGAAAGTTGACGAGGTGCGCAGCACCACCAATCGCTGCAGACTGCATGAATGAGCAGTCAAGACCGCAAGGAGCGGGCGTCGGAGAGGTGAGGGGTGTGAGCATTAGGCAGGCTAGTCATGAGCAACAGCGCCAAGGTATGGGAGCCAACCTCAACCGAGGATACACCCCGAAAGCCAAAGTCGTGAAGCTTAAACGCCAGACCATCGGCATTGTCTGAAGGAGTTTGACACGGTCATTGTGAGAACATAGCATGCAGCTGGTGTGTGTGTGTGTGTGTGTGTGTGTGTGTGTGTGTGTGTGTGTGTGTGTGTGTGTGTGTGTGTGTGTGTGTGTGTGTGTGGCGATGGCGGCGAGGCAAGGACCTACCAGCAGTTGCGTTGAGGTAAGCTTGTAGAATCTTTTTGTGCTCGCGCGAGTTGGTAGCCACGGTCATGGGATACCAGGCTTGAACCAAAAGCGTTTCGAGAAAGTTTGTCAGCCAGTAACATTTTGGGTCAGTATTCTCGACCGTAAACAAGACTGCGGGGGGCAAGAGCACAATGAGGTGAGACCTTGGTCACTGCCATCACTGCTGGCCAAGCGAGGGCAAGTGTGGGCGGGCCCAACCATTCTTGACGGGCAGGACAGTGCCTTCGGGAACAGCCTTAATTTCAATGGGCAGGTGGCCGTTATGTTCCTGCAGAATGTACTCCCAGCCTTTGGGGCAAGCAAGGGCAGAAGGCGGGAGAATGAAGCTCCTGAAGAAAAGGACAATGGACCAGAGGCAAAGAGGACCAGAATGGGAGGTGAAGGGCAAGGACAGGTGGGCTTGCTGCTTACCTTGACGGTTGAAGACGGCGTCGGACCCAAAATGAAGCTGGTAGAGCTCGGCGGCTTCGTCGATTTTGGCCTGAGTCACGACCTGGCCCACCAGCCAGCGCTAGTTCACCAACCACATTTTGGGTCCAACCGTACAAGAGCAAGGGCAGATCAAAAGCATACATGAGCAGAAGCCAGATCAGGCGTCGGGTCTTGGACATTGGATGTTGGGGGCGTTGCAGCAACGGCCATTGATTGCAGAGAAAGCATGCGAGGATCCGGCGGAGGTACCTTGAGGATGTATTGCAAGCCAAAAAAGCATGTTTCTTGAAATTGACCTCCGCGGCTCTCAAAGTAGGAGTAGACACGCGTGGTGTTGGGTGGGTACTGCAAGTGGTGTGAGATCTGCAGGCCAAAGGGTGACAGGAGATGCCTGAGCGGGTCACAGGGGCGAGGTGTTGCGTCGTTCAAAAGCTTTGTTGGCTAAACGCCAGTGTCTGACCCCAAAAGACTTGCTGATCACCCGGGGCACAGCAAGCCATCGGTGCGGGCGCGAGCCTTGTCAAATCCATGCCTAACCTTGTAGGAATCCGCCACCAGAAGCAGGTTATCGGCACAAGGCAAGCCGGACATGGTAGCAGTGCTGAGGCGCGTTCCCGATCAGGGCATGCGCAGAGGCAGGGGAAGGAACACCACGGATATATCGCGTGGCACCGACCGACTGTCGCACTCTAGCAAACAGGAAGGCGAGCAATGTGAGAAATATAATCCGATAAAAAAATCGATGATTCATTGGCTTGCCGATCCACATCCGCACCGCACCCTATGCCCCATCAAAGCCAAGAGCAACCGAGTCAGAAGCATCAAGCAGCTGATGCGATGCGACGCGACGAGACCAGACGAGACGAGCTCCGCCCCCCCTTGCCACACACACACGCACACACAAGAAAAATGAAAAAAAAAAACAGTGAATTTCGCAAATTTTGGTCAAAGAGAGAGAGAGAGAGAGACATCATCAGTCTTCGTGTGTGTGTGTGTGTGTGTGTGTGTGTGTGTGTGTGCGGCTCGTTCATCTATATTTAGACTCACAACGTCATCTAAAAGGAGACGCACGTCAGACCGGCAGGGATGGATGTGGCAGCCGTGTATCAGCGCGTACGGGCGGTCTGCTTTGATGTGGACAGCACCGTTTGCATCGATGAGGGGATCGATAAGCTGGCAGAGTATTGTGGCGTGGGCCAGGCGGTGGCTGAGTGGTGCGTGGTTCGGTGGGCCAAAGACGGATCGCGTCATCCCCGTGCTGTCAGCTGCTGACGGAGTGAGCTACCCCAGCGTCTCACAAAGTATCACTCACCACCCGTTGCACCTGTCCTGCTTGCATGATTTCCGTAGGACGGCGCGGGCAATGGGGGGATCGGTGACCTTTCAGGACTCCTTTGCAGCACGCCTGGACATTATCAAGCCAACAACGGCACAGGTCCGTGTGCGCCTGACCCAATGTGACATGCGTACCCCTCTATTTCTTTCCGGCTCCGGCACAGCCTCACACTGGTCCGCTGGGCGTTGGCCATCATAGATTCAAGCCCTGGTCGAGGAGGGCCCCAAGCTTACCCCCGGTGTCCGGTCAGTGTGTGTGTGTGTGTGTGTGTGTGTGTGTGTGTGGCGGTATGGCACAACTCCTCTCTTTTGAACTGATCAAAGGCAACTCACTCATGTCTGGGCCTCTTTTTTTTCCTCGTCATGGGGGCAGTGAGGTTGTGGCCGCCTTGCAGGCGCGCGGCGTTCAAGTGTTTTTGGTCACTGGGGGCATCCGCCCTTTAATTTTGCCCGTGGCAGCAGCACTCAACATCTCTCCTGACAACATCTTTGCCAACGTTCTGCATGTGCGTGCCTCGATCCGGAGCCACCGCACCCAGGCGAGCCGACTCTGTATCATGACTCTGCGCTGAACATTCCCCGTTGTGACCCACAGCACGATGCAACGGGCGCCTATGTCGACTTTGACCGCAATCAGCCCACCTCACGCACCGGTACACCCATGAGAATGCCAGGCCGTGTTCAAGCGAGGACCCCATTTTGATACTGACTGAACCCCCCACCCTCGCCCCTTGTTTCTAGGTGGCAAGCAGGAGGTCGCGCGACTCCTTCGCGAAGAGCGTGGACTCGCCCCGTATGTCTTCCATCTATTTGGCCCAAGCTTTCGTGTTGCCCCATGTTGTGCTGCCCCATGCTGTGCCACACGACCTCTCGCTTACATTACATTCTCCCCTAGTTTGATCATGATTGGTGATGGTGCCACGGATATGGAAGCTCGGCCGCCCGCGGTAGGGGGGCCCTTCTGAACCTGCAAAAGTTGTCATCTGCACAGTCTCGCTCAGCTTTGCTTGTCTCTCAATTTCATGATCCTTTGTCGCTGTTGATGGTAGGACGCCTTCATCGGGTTTGGCGGCAACGTTGTGCGTGAAAAGGTATGTAGGAGTGACGCGTGCTGACAGCTTTATCGCCAGCAACAGCGTCGTCGCGGCTTTTTCACTAGCACTGGACCCGCCCTGGTAGGTCAAGGCCGGGGCTGACTGGTTCATCTCGAGCTTTGACGAATTGCTGGCCCTGGAAAAGAGCCAAGGTGCCAGCAGCTGAGCCCCAAAGCCCACAAACGACCATACCCGGTGTAACTCGCATCTCAATGTCAGTTTAGTATTTGCGTCCACCATCTCGTGCGTTGATTCAGCGCCCAAAAGCAACAATAGAGTCATAACGTATCAGCAACAAGGCATCTCGGCAATAATGCAATCAAGCAATCCAGGAACAAGCAAATGCCACTTCCCGCCGTGTGAGCCACCTCATTGTCACATCCTTGAGCAAAATTCAATTGCAAGGAGGTGGCGATGAAAGCGCATATTATCATCTCCCAAAGCCCCAGGCAGCACCATGCGCTCCACCCCAAGCAAATTGGCCTTTGCACTTGCTAGTCCTTTGCCTCGACCCTTTCCCCTCATGTTGAAGTGGAGGGACGTAAAAGAGCGGCCGTGGCGCCAGCGCTAGCCGTGATGGAGCGACGACAGTACTCGTAGAAAACATCCTCCGAATCCGAAATGATGTGGTCTAAGTCCATTTTCTCGACCAAGCTAGATCCCACAAACCGTGGCGCAGTGAGATGGTAGGGAAGCGCTTGTTCCAAAACCAGCAACGAGAACGACGCACCTGTTAACGACAGTAAAGACATCTGCCAAGTCGGTGCAGGCCATGATCTTCTCCCGATGCTGGCGAAAGATGGCACAGCACACGAAGAGCTCAAAGGAAAAGTCCAGTTCATCCAAGGAGCCCTCGGCCTTGGCCGGCTCAGCCTTACCCTTGCCTTTGCTCGTTGGGGCAGTGGTGGGGTCAACATCGCTGGCGCTCAGCTGAGCCATGCGCTCCTTGCGCAGCTCTGTACTGCGCACCTTGTCGGCCTGTACGCTGTTAAGTTCCATATGATGGGAGCACAAAATCTCAAACAGCCGCACCGAGTCGTCCCAGACAAACTCACGCTTGAAGCCAAGCAGCAGCCATCTGCCCACACAATAGCCTAATGAGCACGGAAGCGGCGTAGGGCTCGCAAACACACTCGCGCTCGTACCGATGGCAAAAAATAAGGTCGCCTGCATCAATCTTCTCCAAGTGCTGCATCAGATCTGGCTCGATGAAATTCAGTAGTCGCTTCAAGCTCTCTGCCAAGCACCAGAGGGGTTATAGGTCAGGCAGCCCGCATTTGACTTGGCCATGGATATGAAGACCAAGCACGCACCAATCTTTTCCACCATGCCCTTGGCCATAAAGTCACTCTGAATGAGATTGAGGTAGCTGTTGAGGCACCAGTAGGCATCGGCCTCATTGTCGATGACAAACAAGATGATGGCCAACACGTCGTTCATGCCTGTCGACACAAGCCGATAAAAAGGGAGGGACAAACAGTCAGAGCGAGGATGGGAAGTGAAGCTTGCGTTGCTGCACGATTTTGGCTTTTGGGCAAGCTCGTGATCCGATCTGTTTGCGCTACAGCACCGACGGTCAATCGCTCACCTTGGACATAGCCAACCTGTCCTCGCCATCGGAAAAAAAAAAACAAGAGAGACAGACAGACGGAGACAGACAGAGACAGACAGACAGAGAGAAGGGCGTGTGAGCCCCATGGCACAAACTTGCAAACTTACAAGAAGCGCTCGTCAGCATAGTTTCACGAACCTCTTGGTGAAAAACTGCGTAAGTGACCAGGATGTCATGAAGCCATACCAAATGCTCACTATCATCCTTCTCAAAGTACTCGTGTTGGCGATCGGTGCGCGGTACGTCCTTTTTCACAATACGCTGTTTCGGACGGGAGCCAACATGCATGCATTTTGTTAGGCTCTCAAGACTCCTGGGGGCACAGCTGTCCCTTTGCCGTGCACCGAGCGTGCGAGGTTGGCAGGAGGTGCTCATTGGGCAATGACACAGACCATGCTGTCTTGAGCCTTCTCATGGTCAATGTCGTAGCGCATGGCCGTCAGCTTGGCCTGGATAAACACAAATTGATCCTCGGGCGGCAACGTGTCCGCCACGTCCAAGTCTTCATCGTCCCCCTCACCGCTCTGCGCCGGCCGGCCCAGAGCATGGCACGGTACGATCAGAGGCCAAGCCATGATGATGATGAGCATTCAGATTTCATGCCAACAGCACTGCCAAAGTTGCCTGCGCCTGCACACACCATATCATCAAGCAGCTCCTCTTTCCACCGAGCCTTGAGAGCCAGATAGTCCATGCGCCGTTCTTTCTGAAGCACGGAGCGCTCGCTATGGATGTCAACCACAACGATGAGTCAGAAGCCATGGTGGACGCAACTATACGTCAGAGCAGAGGGATCACCAAGGGTCATGACACGCACAGCGAGGTGGAATGCATGGGGTAGTAGCCAAGGAGAAAATACCAGACGTCCCGGCGAATGCTGGCATCAACGCCACCTGCCGGGGGCACACGAGTCCAACAGTCCGTCACGTTTTACGTTTGGTGATGTCCATGTACATGGCTTGATTGATGGCCAGACCCGCAATCAACGGCAAACGCGGTACCCTTCCCCGCGCTGTCCCCGGCTTTCCCGCACCTTTGAAGATCTTGGAACGTAGCTTGGCCTCGTCCACAAGTCGCCCATCCGGCGAGAAAGCGGCCTGCCAATCAGCCTCGGACAACGGTGCGCCGCGATTGGCCATCCTACCGATTTCCGCCCCAGACCCCCACCTGCGCTTCAACACCCAGTACTCCGTACCAATACCACCAGTACCAAGGTACCCAATACTCCGTACCAATACCAGTCAGTATCAACGCCAGCACCACCACCAGCACCACCACCAGTACCGGTACCGGCACCAACAGCTATGTCGTCCAAAAGAGCATCGAGAGACAAATTGATTTGGTCGGTTTGAAAGAGAAATAAAGAGAAATAAAGGAAAAGCACAAATTGTTCTCTCTCACACACACTCTCTCTCAAGCATCTCTCAAGTCTCTCTCTCTCTCAAGCATCTCTCTCTCTCTCTCTCTCTCTCTCTCTCAAGCATCTCTCTCTCTCTCTCTCTCTCTCTCTCTCTCTCTCTCTCTCTCTCTCTCTCTCTCTCTCAATCATCTCTCAAGTCTCTCTCTCTCTCTCTCTCTCTCTCTCTCAAGCATCTCTCTCTCTCTCTCTCTCTCTCTCTCTCTCTCTCTCTCTCTCTCTCTCTCTCTCTCTCAAGCATCTCTCTCTCTCTCTCTCTCTCTCTCTCTCTCTCTCTCTCTCTCTCTCTCTCTCTCTCTCTCTCTCTCTCTCTCTCTCTCTCTCTCTCTCTCTCTCTCATCTCTTGTGTGATTTTCAGTGTCAGTGGTTTTTCTTGGCTCAGTGGCGGTGTGGCTCGGTGCTGTGTTGGCTGGGGTTGAGGGTGCTGGGTGCTGGGTTGGTACAGGAGGATTGGGGTTGCGGCTGGCTGATTGGTTGGTCAGGGACCGGGGAGGATGTGGCGACGTGGGGTTCAGGCTGTGCGGCCAACTGTGGCGTCGATGTATGGCACAGTTGTGCGGACCAAGACGACGTGGCGCGCTGGAGGCCAGGGGCAACGATCAATGCCAGCTGCTGAGATTTTTGGAACGGGGCTCGGCTTGATTGCAGGTGTAGGGTTGGGGGCTGGCTTGTGCGTGGCTTGTGACACGGCAACCACCAGCGTCGAACCCATCACCAAGATTGCCTTCCCCACCTCGAGCGGCCGCTTCCAGCTCTTGGGCCATGGCTGCCGGTGAGTCTCCCGCCCTGCGATCCCCAAGCGCGCGCGCGTGCTCCAACATCACAACCTTCCTGCGTGGTAGTCTCACGATCCTGCTTGATTGAATCTCACTCGGCAGCAAAAAGTATGGCTTGTTCAGCGTCTACGCAGTGGGCTTGTTTGTGGATCGGGATGATGCAAAGGCATGTCAACAGTTCTCCCTGCCTGACATCCAAGCGGGCCACGTTGCCGCCCGCCTCGAGCTTGCCTTTGCCCGCACTGTTGATCAAGCTACCATGATCGAGGCCCTGGCCGACAGCGTGGCGCCCCGCCTACCGACTGGGGATGAAGCCGCCGCAGCCGAACTTCAGGAACTGTCTGCAGCTCTGCTGCAGGTTTCACAAGGCCAATCTTTTGCCGTGCATTCCCGACTTTGCTTTGACTGGGAGCCGCGCCGGGATCTGCTTGTCATCGGCCTCGAGGGTGGCTTGCCAGTCACCATCAAGGCACCTCGTGTCGCCCGTGCCCTCTTTGACGTCTACTTGGATGAGCAAGCCGTCTCTGCCGACGCCAAAGCCAGCTTTCAGCAAGGCATTGAGCAAATGTTTGCGCACCCGCAATGAGCCCAGCGTCGGTCCAGCCGCTCTCGGCTACTCTGTACAGTTGGTTGTTCTCATTCTCTCATCAATTGAAAGCCTGCTAAGCGAATCTGACCAATACAGTGGCTCAACTCAAGCCGTGGGCGCTCTGCGCCCCTCGGGCCCCGACTAAAATGGCGAAAAGGCTTGGTCGCGCGCAACGACGAGGCTCTGGAACGTGGGTTGGGGCAAAGGCTGCTGCCACTCGTGCCAAAACCAGCCCTCACATTTGGAGGGCTCTGCATTGACGGGCTCCTGTGCCAGCCATCCAGAGTCAGCCACACGAGGGACAGGGACGATGAGCATCCACTGGCGCCATGGGGAGATTGTCGGTCTGCTGCATCGCCTCGGCGTGCTCCCTTCAATCCTTGCCTGTCCGTGCCGTCGCACACCTGGAACGCGACTGCTCACCTCGTGAATGTCACCAACAACGGCCAAGACGATAAAGTGATAGTGACTCGGCGCATCAATCACGTTGAAGGTGGCTGACAGTGCAGCATTATGCAAGCTCACGCCACATTCTTCGCGCACCTCCCGCTGGGCGGCAGTGATAATATCCTCCCCAAATTCCAAGTGTCCGCCTGGTGCAGCAAACGTGCCTTGACCCTTCGGATTGCCGTCGCTGTGGCGCGCAAGTCGACGACCCAACAAGATGCAGCCCGGATGTGCTTCGGCACGAACAAAGCAGACCACGCCGACCTGTAACATTCATCAGGCTGAAATGAGCAAACGGGACCCACGTCGTACAAGCCGCCCCGCTCACATAATAGGAATAAAGTGACGCACCTTGGGGCGCGGTGGTGCTGGTTGATGCAAAGTCAAGCTGGGCTGTCCTGCGCAGACCACCCGCGCTGTGCGCTGAGCGAGAGGGGCATAAATGCCATACGTCGGTCCAACACAGCGGCATGAGCGTTTTGGCCGCCAAAGCTGCCTTCATAGTCGATGTAGCTTACCTCCAAAACAAGCGCAGTGGCAGCTTGCAGCTCAACAGCTGACAACGGCTGCCCAAAGGGCGGTAGATGAAGAAAGACACTCGGCACGTCGGCATGCGAGGCCAAGCTACGCGAACAAGACCGCCCCCGCTCGTCAGCCCGTGTAATGGAACGGTTTGTACGACAACTCACACTTGCACATGTCTGAAGCGCACCTATGGTAGTACACGTATTCACAGAGATACAAGCCAGCATTCACCGAAACGCGCAGTGGTAGGGGTCGCGTGTCCTCGACATCTCGAAGCACCTAAGCAACTGCAGGTGTGAGTGGCACGGCTCTCCAGATGCGCTGCCGACATTCATTTCGCTCGTGGCCAGCGGCCGCTTACCCGTGGCAGGTCGATGGGCGTGCGCAGCTCGTCTGGCCCCGTGCAGGAATGACGCTGTAGCAGGCCGTTCGAGTAAGAATAGTGGAAGTAAGGGCGTGGGCCTGCACCATCACAAGATCCATTGGCAGTCCATACCTCGGAGGCCGGCGAATGATGCGCGTTGTCCTTGCGCACGTACGGGCCCCGTCGCGCTCGATACTCCAAGCGAAGCGCCTCTGCCTTGCCCACCCCCATGTGAACGCACAACTTGACCGCCGAGGGAGCGTGCTGTGCCCAAACCTTCGGTAACACCTGGTCTACTTTGCCTGTCCGTGGTTCAAAGACAGAATGAGGCTGCCCCCGAAGCCCCTCTTGCAACGCAAACCAGCGGGTGATATCCGGCATAAGCTCACGTACGATAATCCACAGGCAATCGATGTGCTGAAACCGTCAATCCACCCAGCTTTGCACCGTCCAGTCGGTGCGCGACCTGCGTCATGCCGACCACATCATCAACGGGATTGAGTTTCTGGGGGGCTACAGCACCCACTGCCTTGGCCTACAACCCAAGTTGCCGCCGCCCCATCCAATCCCCCTCGCAGATCCAGCACGAGACCAACCTCCCAGGAGGGATTGACGACATGACTGCCAAACGGCTCAAATCCAGTTAAAAGAAGCGTCATGGCTCCCGCGAAATTTTTTTAAAAAAATTGGTTTAATGCTTGTGACCAAAACGAGAGTTTTGACAGAGTTTTGGACGAATTTTCAACGAATTTCGGGGTTGAGAGCGTCAAACAGTTTTTTTTTGGGGCGATGCATGTGGATTGAATTGCTCGTCTTGGTCAACCAGCTGGCAAGACTTGTGTGTGCCACAAACACGCGGATAGAGACAAGCGAATGATGAACATGTACATACGAGCGGCACAGCCGCGAAGGCTGCAAAGAATGAAAATGCTCTCTGCAGGAGGATAGGCCAAATCAAAAGACACTTATCGAACCTTAGCTCGGGGCAAGTCTAGGAAGGACGATTTGTTTTGTGGTGCTGCCCAAGAAAAGCCCATATATCAAGTGAGGAAGGTGGTTGGTCGCCAATGACAAGCATGGTGAGAGCGTCAGATCGGGGAGGCCTGAAACATGGTGTGTTCGTACCTTGCGCAAAAAATCTAGAATGACTTTGGCCGCGCGTTCCTCCCTTGGTGATAGCGTCGACGAAGCTGTGCGGCGACGACTTCCTGATTGCGTGCGTGACCTGTGTGGAGAGCGGCAATGACAAAGAGATACAATCGTCAGCACCCAACGATCTGTCCTTCAAACCGACGCCAACAGCTCCTCTGTCGTAGGGTTGTCGACGAAGAGGCGAAACGAAAACAAAAGAGCTTTGCGCGCGAGGGGCACACCTGGGAGTTGATGGGCTTGTCACAGCGCTACTGTCTGCGCCCTGTTGGTGGCGTCGGCGAAATTGGCGCTGAATCACGCGAGCAGCTCTTTCCCGTTCCTCTTGCTCAACAACTCTTTTGTACTTGCGGTAGAACGTTTGAATTGCCATGGCCGCCGACTCCTTGCGCTCCTGATTCCGTCGCTGGTCAATCGCACGGGAAGATCAGAATTTGATGATCAATCAACACCCTCAGACTCTGGTAGGCATTGCTCATCTCTTCAATGATTAGCATTGGTTTTGGCGCGATAGCCGGCAGCCAATAGCAGTTGGTGGTTGCTTACCAAGTATTGACGAAAAGCCACTTGAATCGTGCGGGCCGCGCGATACGTGAGGCGTTGCTCGGCCGGAGAAGCAGTTTCGTCGACAGCAGCTGAAAGAAACGAGGATTACCCCACAAATATGGTCAATAAGTGTGGCGAACGCAACGCTGTGTGGTATCGCGCAGCCAGCCGTCGGCACTTGCACGGAGCATCAGCAACAGAAACGGAGACAACGGCACACAGAGGTGCACGCGTCTGATGAGATGAGACGTACAGCCCGAAAGTGATAAAGATCCCAGCCTTGCAAGGCCTTCGTCTTGTAAAAAGTCACGCCAGTTCAATCCCCGCAAAGGTGAGCCTGAGAAGGAGCACATGTTTCGAGCAAATGATTTCAGATTCAACGAGCACGAAGGCACGCTTCTATGCAAGCGTCATGTGCCATCAACACACAGCGTGTTCACGCAAAGCTCGATCAACAAACCAGTCGCGACAGGGTCGGGCGTTGGCTCCGTCGCAGCAGTGGGTTGGTCGTTCTGACTGGGCAAATGTGCCTCGGGCTCTGTGTCATATTCGAAAGGGACAGTTATGCTAATGGCCTGGCCATGTCGGCAGACCTAGGATATCAAGTTTGCAGGTCAAAACAACTTGAGCGTCCTATATAATGCACAGGTCACTGCTCAGCTTTCATCAGTTGGTAGGCTAACACGCGCTGACCTGAAGCTGCTGCACACCGGGATGCGAGGTAGCAGGCGCGATAAAAGTCAGCACACCCGGGTGAATCTGACGGGCCGCACACAAGGTTTCGTTCAGGCGAACAGAAAATCCGGTAAATCCGACGGGCCAGGGGCCGATGACAAGGACCTCCACGCCACCTTGGACGCTGCAACGGCGCGGCGCATATGCGGTTACAGCTGCCAACACCACCGAACTGGCAAGAGGGGCGGGGCGTCCTCGAGCAGAAGGCGGCGCAAGATTGCCACGTGGTGATTGGGCCGCGGCTGCGGTGACTGGTTCTGACTTTGGTTCAAAGGCAGTCGCTTGGGGTAGCATCTGCAGCTCCGGCAATGCGGGTGGCAAGGTGTGCGCATGGGCATCTCTGCCTCGCGGGGCCAAAGCACTCCAATCAAGGTCCAAATCCATCTCCAGGTTGGGTTCTTGTAGAATGAGGTTGGTTGCCGCAGAGAAAACAGTGTCATCGACGTTGGCCAGCGTTTGGAGCATGCCAACCTGCCTCAGCATTCAAAACAAAAAAACAACAACCAACCAACCAACAAACAAACAAACAGTAAAACAAGGCATGAAAAAAAAGGATTGCGGCATAGATGCGCATCGTCAGCGAGATCAGGGATCAGGTTATAACCAGCGAGCACACCCACGGTATTCCCCACAGACAATGCCTGGACAAGCCCTCAAACCCATGCTAAAGTGCCGTGTCGAGGACGCGGGCGAGTAAAGTTCACTCTTGAGACGAACCGTGTCAGGGGTTTTGCCTGTTTGCAGGTAGTGGACCAAGACGATTCGAGGATGTTTGAGTAGCCAGTAGCAGCGACGGCGAAAGCCGGGCTGGACAGCCGAGTGCGAGTAGCATCCATAGAGTTGCTGCAAAGGGACGCGTCAGGGCGCACAGTTTCAAAACAAAAGTTGGGTGTTAAGAGGAGCACAATGTTGGCGCTTCATGGGTGACAGCGGGCTGCCGTCGCCGCTGACCTCTTGTCCATCTATGCGTAGTTTGTAATGGTCTTCGCGAACAGCTGTGCTGCCGGATCGACGGAGCCATTCGTGGCCGTCTTGTCGAAAGTTGACCTGGTTGAGCCACTGCATGGTGAGATAGCCACAAGAAGGCCAGATGCCTGGTGACCGCCCAAAGCGTACCTGCGCTCGGTCGTATAGATACAGGTCGCCACTGCGTAGCCTATAGCATGGGTTGAGACGCCGTTAACGGGCTCATGTGTCAAGTTACACGATGATTGAGATGCTTCAAATGTCTTACGCGTGTGGCACGGTTGTTGCGACCCATTCTGGGTGACGTTCAAAGCTGAGCAATAAACTGGCAATGGTCTGTACAGCCAAGGGTCATCCGCTTGTATGAGGTCAGGGCGGGCAGCAGGTAGGGGCTTGCGCGCACCAGCGGGCTGGAGCGTCTGCAGGCGCTGACCTGGTTATCAAGCCAAGTGGTACTATGCCGGCAAAACTCGGCGCATGGTGACACGGGGAGGTCATGCTCGCGGAATGCGGCCAACTGATGGCGCTCCTCGTCTGTATCCGCCGCGCAACCGACCAGGGTCATTGACTAAGCAAAACCGCTACAAAGACATCACGATATTCACCGAGAATCTGGACAGAGAGCCTGGCCATACCGGTGTACATGGCAAGTCGTTGATACATTCATAAGCACGTCGGCTTGACCTCAGAGCCAGGGTCCTGTCATGTCATGGCACGTTGGTGCCCCCCGCCCCCCACGGCGCCTTCAATCCATCATCGATGAGGGCGCAGTCAGAGACAGAGAGAGAGAATGAATGAGAGAGAGAGAGAGAGAGAGAGTTTGAGAGAGAGAGAGAGTTTGAGAGAGAGTTTGAGAGAGAGAGAGTTTGAGAGAGAGTTTGAGAGAGTTTGAGAGAGAGAGAGAGAGAGTTTGAGAGAGAGAGAGTTTGAGAGAGAGAGAGAGAGAGAGAGAGAGAGAGAGAGAGAGACAGAGAGAGAGAGAGAGAGAGAGAGAGAGAG